GTGTTTGAGAATAACGTTAGCGTTAGATGATGTCTTACTAAGAAGAGTAAGAAAAAGAAAAGACCCAATTCCTCGTTTTGTGTCTTCATGTCCAGCAGTTGTGCGTTGTTCACATGGGTTAAGGTATGGTGAGTTGTGTCATCGTCCGCGAACAGTGGCTTAGGTAGCTTACAGTGGCTTACAGTAGCGCCAATTGCCACAGTTTGATCGACCAGCCGGATTGGGCATGACCGAAAGAAATACCAGCCAATCAGAGAGCGGAGCGCTTGGAACGGTAGTTGTGCTGGGAATGCTACTTGCGGTGGGAATGCTAGTTGACATATCAACGGCAGATTGTATCCCTGGAATGCGAAGTATCATACCCGCCTGGTGCATTTTCCCATTACGGTATGCCCGGTAGGGCTGGTAGGCTGTTCCTCGTGCAGGCAAGCGGCACAGTCACAAACTCCCATGCCGCAATCCCCCATGGAGCTTCGTATTTCCGCCTGCAGACTTTGTGACTGCCTAGATACTGGAGTAAGCTGAGTTCGTTGTCGAGAGATGCAATGGTGAGTGCTCTGCCCCAGAAGCAACCAGCACTTCCGAATAGCAACTTGAAACTCGGGTCCTAGCCAACCCACTGCAGGGGTTTTGTATAACCAGCAAGTCAACGCTTTTACAAGGTGCTCAATTAAACCCTGGGGTTTGCATATGAGCAAAGCATGCATCGTGCATGACGGATCTCTTTGATTAAAGGGGTTGACGTCTCGCAGCGCGCACCCAGACCGACAAGGCACCTGATTCGAGGTCGCGGGCTCTCACACATTTCTCATCAGAAATTTCGAGTTCACTGCAAGGCATTAATGCTGGGCTCATGTTGACTCATTGATAGAGTCAGCCTCGAGTCTTCTCTATGGTACTTCAAGTACCAGACCGTAGATGGGTAAAGTAAGGTAGGGAACTGTACGTTAAGTAAGGTAACGTTTCTGGTCTTGTCACTTGAGTATGGTCGCAACACAAAAAAAAAAAGAAATGAAGGTATTGTACACGAGGCAATGCCGTTGTTGAAGCAAGAGGTATCTATCTTAGCCAACCCCGTTTCCAAGCGAGCTCCTCTGGTTTCCAACGACCGCACTTTAGGTTCAGCGATGTTTCTCGGATCGCTGCAGGTACCTATTTACCTACCTTAATGAGGCAGCCGTACCAGCTAATACCAAGCAAATACCCAGACTTTCCCCTTAGAATGGAAAAAGATAATCCGCTGCTGTCTGCAATAAAGTTAGTCGACCGGTTGCTCGGGTATCAAATATCCAGTCAAATATCGCTTACAAGGAGATCTATCGTCGCATCAGCAACACAGGCACCCGCAGGACGTTTTGCGAGATCCCGTCACCCTTCCAATCTCAGTGGCATCATCGCACCCAGGCGATGGACTCAGCTGTGCAATGAACCAAACGCTCAAAAGCGAGCGGCAAGCCCATGGGTCTAGAGCGTATTCAGGCGTACACGTAGACGCGGAATCTTCCGGGCCGTGACCGCCGGAACCGCCGGGAGCGCCGCGCGCAGGTGCAAACCGACATGGCGCTCCCGCAGCACCGGCAATGGTAATGGTAAGCGTGGCGGTGTGAGGCGCGGCATCGCAGGGTGTAGAATGTGACGTATCGCTGGCAGATGGGACACCAGTCCCGGTCCCACCAGTCCGCCCAATGTCGAGCCGCCATGCCGTCGGATTTGCCGATGTGTTTGGACTCAGCTGCTAAGGCTCAGTGTGGTGCTGATGTTGGGGGCCAAGGGGCTGAGGAAGCTTGACTGATGAATCTGACAGGAAAAAAGCCGTTCCGACTAACTATCACTCCCGCCTTTTATCTCCCAATCTTTGCGAGCCATTCATCTTTCAGAGAGCAGGTCATGAGTACCGGGTAAGAGAGCCTGGGAGACGCCCCCTTTGCACAGCTGAGAGTCTCAGCTGCAGCTGGATAACTTGTACAAGTTCGTTCGCAGCATAGCCATAAGTTGAACCACTGAGAGTGGCCTTGACATAGACGCAACATAAGCAACGTTTTAATAAGAGGGGCGTGTGTCCGTTGGCGCCAGCCCACGGAGGCTGGTCATGCAGCTCAGAAAGCCGGTTGAAGGCCACGTGGGAGGGGCGCACAGAGAAAGCAGGCGACCATCCCTGAACCCGCGTCCCTGTCAGGCGCCGCCGTTGTTCTCATCTTCTCACACTGGTAAATCTGATGATGGATCAAAATCCCGGTCATGATCATGCTGGGTCAAGTGCCAACCTAGTCTCGCACGATTTCAGAAAAGCGGCAAACTTGGAACCCCGGCCCACCTTGAAAAACGACACATTGGGCCCAATCCTTCAGTCACAGTCCCGGTGGTGAGAAGGCGTCGCGAACCCCATGGCCTGGTCCACGGACTTTCGCACGGTGTAGTACGACCACAGCCAAGGATTTCCGAAGATCCACGACGGCCGCCTGTTGATCGGCTCCCGCGCAGTAACCTCCGGATTGGTAAACACGCCCTGGCTGATGTCCGGCTTGCCGGCGTACTCGCCCACGGTGACGTTACCGGAATACACGCCTACGTTGATTACTTTCTGTTGACCAACATCCACGTTCTGCTCGGCGCTACCCACCGTAGATGTCAGGTCCCGGACCACGCGGTCCAGCACGTCACACGGGGCGCTCCACGCAACCAAGTTTGTCGAGGGGCTGAATCAAGGGCGACATGCGGCCGTACAGCTGCCGCGTCGTGTTCGTGTCCGGCGTGATGACGGTGGCGCCGCCCCTGTCCACTAGCGTGACGGCGTCAGTCGAGTTGGTCAGAGTGAAGCCATCGATACGAGCGCCGCGCACGTCGACCACCCACCGCAACCGCGACGACGACAGCGGCCAGTTGATTGGAATCTTCTTGAGCGTCCGGAATGTATTGCGACGGTCGGTGCCGCCCAGAGTGAGCACACCGTCGTGCCCTTTGCGGTCCGATATGAAAGAGAAGTTGAACTCCGCGCCGAGGAGCTGGCCGCTATTGACGGGCGGGCAGTACGTCGGGCTGTACTCGGTTGAGTAGAGGCCCCAAGGGACGACGAGCATCAATCCCATGCCGAAGATACCGTCGGGTGTTTGGTCTCGAAGACCAGAGTAGTAGGCATATCAGATCATGAACTCGCTGATCGAGGCGCGGCCGGCCATGCCGACCATGTCGGTGACGATGTGCAGTTTGCGCCTTGGGGTTCGTCAGACCCCGTGGTGCCGCCGCCTTGGTTGCCAAACAGAATCTCCCTTCTGTACCTGGACAGACCAGAGCGTGTGCTGGAGGCTTCGTGGTCGTATTGTTGATGGTCGCCGCATGTGCTGCAGTTCTTGTGGGCGATCAGCATCAGGGACGCCGACGTGTCGAAGACGAGCTTGTTGGGAGACGTCAAAGTCGCGTTGCAACTTGCTGAGCGAGAAGTTTTGACTTGCAACGTCACCGGAGGAGTGCCGACAGTGATGTCGCCATACCACTGCAGGCTGACAATTCCTCTTTTCCACGCCAACAAGTCGATGTTGATAGGCGGTTCATGACCATTACGTCTGGTGAGCCCATCCAACTGAAATGGCGCAAGTGCTGAGGTACGGGATCCTAGGCAGCTCTGGTTCCAAGCAGGGCTGCCCCCCCAAGCCAGACCGAGTTGGAGGCTGATCCAGAAAAGCATCTTCGTTGTTTACGATAAAGTAGCCGAGTGCCATGAAAGCTGCCAGTAATCTTGGAGTGGCCCGTAAGAAGACAGGACGATGCCGATTCCTCAACACCTCTTGAGTCGGATATGAGGATGAGCATGTTTAACGAGACTCCCAAGTAGTCCGTAAAGTGTAGGGCCAAATTTCGATACCACACGCCATTTGTAGCTGCCATGACAATATTGATCGAGAGGCTTCCTCGCCACTTGGGTGATGGGGCTGAACAATGGGTAAAGGATTGGAAGAACGATATTAGCGGATGCACTGCAAGCCAGGCACAGTTTGGTGAGACACAAAACCCACCGCTTTCCCGCGCCAACTGCAGGATTGCTGCATCATTGACAGCACACAATGTCTCGGTGTCTCCGGCATTGCCATTGTCGTTGAGGGAGGCGCACTGCGGTCATATTTGCCTGCGGGCCGCATTTGAGCCCGTTCACAGCTGCAGCACAAACGTGTCTTAGCCGGGCAGTGGTTGGCGATGGCTTCAATTGGCTTCCGCAAGCCTAGAATCCCCAGTAATCCTCTCCGATACCGTGGCTGCGCCGCCGTATCCACTGCTGGCCATCCCTCCCCGGCAAGCTCGGCAATGACGTGGTGTTCGGGCTGGATGGTGACCCGGCCCATGAAATGCTCGCGCCCGCCAGGGTGAGAACGGCCGAATTAGCCTGGTCTGCTGCTGAGACATCTGCACTCCTCTGCGCAAAGCCATGCCTGATATCAAGTGTTGACTGTTAGATCCATGCCTGTCCCAAGCATCAAGTATGTTTCCTGGCAGGACAGGGCGTTGGGAATCTCACGGGTGGGCTCCACGCTGATTGTTGCTTCCCGGACCGGTTTGTAATCAAGAGACGGTCGGGTAATTCTGGTCTTGGGGCTGCGGTGGCGTCTGGGAATTTAAGAACGAGCAGTTCAGGGACGTCGTTTTCGCTGACTGTCGAACTGACCGTAAGCTTTCCTGAAGCGTCGGTGATTACCTATGCAATCCATAGCGCCTCCCGGGTGATAGAACTGCCTTGGTGCCGCATGTTGACCGCGCCATCGACCGAAAGGGCTGGCAAGCCGACAAAGATGCGTGAAATTCAGGTACTGTGTGCAGGGAAAGCCAGGAGAGGTGTACTTGTGCATGAGCCATGGTGGACGTCGGGTCCGATGGGTCTTACAATAAGCAGATACTCAATTTGAGGCCTAAGCAGTCAGCCCGACGTCCTCGGGCTTGAGGAGGTGAAGTTGGGAATCTATTAAGTCATGCTAGTGACAGACTGCAGACTTCCCTGTTTGAAACCGGGCGCCTGACAGTCAAGCCCATGGAAAAAGGCTTGAGACACACAAATACTTCCGATGTTATGGGCAATGTAGCCACATAGCGAGCGGGTCTTGGTAGATACTTGGAACTTGGGAGGCTTCGAGAGGTGTGCACCAACGGAACTTGAACGAGATGAAGTGGGGCCACCTGATAAGATGAAAATCATCCGACAGATTCTGGTCCCGCACCCACAATCTACGAGTGATAGGCGGCGGTGTTCCCACACTTATCAGCGCCTCAATCAGCTGAGTCGCAATCGGTATATGCTCTAAACATCGAGTTCCAACCACGCCTCTTCGCATTACTAAATCCATTTGCTGCATCGAGTTCCAACCACGCCTCTTCGCATTACTAAATCCATTTGCTGGCGAGGAAAGGGAGATAAGCATGAGCACCGCCGAGAAACAGCCTGCGTCAACGGCTCCGGCCGAGGCTGTCTCCATCGAGTCCACGTCGGCACCGGCCGACAATGCCGGCACTCCGGCGGCTCCGGTCGCAACGGAGGCCCAAAAGGCGCCGGAAGCCACGGGATTACCCGCGGACCGAGAGACAAAGGAAGACACTATTGAAGCAGACCCAATCGCCCAGCTGTGGACTCTCGCAAAGGCTGCCGGCCACCCAGAAATCTGGGGAGTCACTCTTGCAGACCCCGAAAGCCACGTGCCCACGCGCATCATCTTACAGAAGTACCTCAACGCCAACGACGGCGACCTGGCCAAAGCCAGGGAACAGCTGACCAAGACGCTGGAATGGCGCGCCAAGATGAAGCCCCTGGAGCTCACCAAGAAGGTCTTCAGCAAGGCTAAATTCGACGGCCTGGGCTACGTCACCAAGTACACCCAAGAAGCATCCACCGAGCCAGCGGGCAAGGAGGTGTTTACCTGGAACATCTACGGCGGCGTCAAGTCTGTTGACGAGACATTTGGGAAGCTCGAGGAGTAAGGCCCCCTCGACCCATCAGCCCTGTCATCATCTCTAACCCTTGCCTTCAGATTTCTAGAGTGGAGAGTTGCGCTCATGGAACTCGCGCTTCAAGAGCTGGACATCTCGTCAGCCACCAAGCCCATCACAGCTGACTACGACTCCTACAAGATCTTTCAGGTCCACGACTACAAGTCCATCAGTTTCCTGCGCCAATCGCCCCAGGTCAAGGCCGCCAGCACGGAAACCATCAAGGTCTTCGCGCAGAACTACCCTGAGCTGCTCAAGGAAAAGTTCTTTGTCAACGTCCCTGCCATCATGGGATTCGTCTATACGTTCATGAAGCTTTTTGTGGCGCCCAAGACGATAAAGAAGTTCCACCCAATGTCGAATGGCGGCAACCTCGCGCTAGAGTTTGGCGAGAGTAAAGTCCCGTGTCTTGGGGAGAAACTGCCTGCCAGATATGGAGGCAAGGGTGCTGCGCTAGAGGAGCAGGGTCAACAGACGCGGCTAAAGTGAAGGGTCGGCAGAAACCCGCCAATAGACGGACCATATCAGCCAGTGTGTACATTGACCACGGGGTCCAGGATTTTTATGTGACGGCACAGTCGGGTAACACGGGGCTTTCTGTATCACTGGGCATTGCATTCTTATGCCCGCTGTGTTCTGTTCAAGTTTGTTGACTGTAAACATGCACGGGTCGGAGCTGCGCCCAACTATAACTGGAGCCTCGGCTGTGCCCCATGCTAAGTTCTGACTTTGATGAGTCTCTGAGTCCCAAGCGTGTGTTTTTATGTCCTGTTTCTAATCAAGTGGCTTGCTGCTCGTTTGCCCCCGTATCGAACGCTTGAGGGCGTTGTGCAGACCAAACCTGGGGTGAAGTGGAGGGAGATCAGTCCCTGACATGGAGTCAACCTCCATTGTGTCAAGATGTGGAAACTCGTTCCGCCATGTAGACTATGGACGTCAGGTCCAGATTTAGCTTACACGGTACCGAAATTTATGGAAAGAATGCAAGAGGCATAGGGGCTGGTCAGCAAGGTTCTTCAGGGACGCCCTATACGTATCACATAGCCTGCTTGGTGGTAAGCCAGGGCTCTTGGTAACTTAGCTGACGCCCCTTTCTGTATCACAACAATCATGACTTGTTCCCGAATGTTGAAGAAACCCAACTCTTAAGAAAGAGTCAAGGTGCAGCTCATGTGAATAAGATACCCGGCCGCAATTGCACATCATTTTACCATGCCACACTCTTACTCGGTCACTCCTACGGCCTCCAACGGCAGGCCGGGGATGAGGGCGGCTGCCTCAGACCCCGCGCTTCATCCGAGAGAACCGGCTTTCGCATGCGTTGCGGCTGTGCCGCCTGAGGAACTCCTTTGCCAGGAGGATAAATTGTTAGCTAGGGCGGTTCTGTATTGTACATCCACCGAAGGATGTCCAGGGACAAGTACACTCACATCGGCAATCTGCCCATGTGACAAACCCGTTGTGCGGAGCATGTCAAGCAGTTGATCCTCCTCAGGGAACCATTTCTTCGGATCGGTATTGTTCTGAGTTTTGAAAGCGATTATCTCGAGCAGTTCGGTGACTCGCTCCGCGGTCCTGGGGCCGAATAATGACAAATCGAGAGCGGTTCCCTCGGCGGAGTGAGTGGCTCGGACCGCTGGGGGGTAGGTGTTTGGACCCAGCGCACCGGGTGGCTGCGGACGCGCCGGTCGCGAGGACGGGAGTGGTGTGCGCTTCGTCTTCTTCCCCGCATCTTGGCCGGCCTGATTCTTGTGCTTCTCTCCGAACGTAGTTGCTCGCTTGTCCGGGTTACTGACTCCATCCGCTGTCGACGTTGTGTCAAGATCCATCTGGTCGGGCTCGTGGCGTAATTCGGGTTCATTGTTGACTGTCGAGACGCCGTCGTAATCGTGTTCTGTAACAGAAGCTTAGAAACTATGCCAGAAAAGAAAACAGGACAACAGCCAACATTTCAGATTGAGAACACTTACTGTCTTGGCGAGCAACGACTCGGACATCGCCAGGTGGATGGAACATGCCCGGATGTTGGGCGTTAAGGAAGCCGTACATACATTCGTCCAACTGGTTCTGTCGCTCTTGGCTGTACTCGCAGCCCTCTGTCGCACAAAACCAGCCGCCAAAATCCTGCGGCCTCATCGCTCGAGTGATGGTGCGATGGTCGGCGCATTCAGGTTGAGTGTCTGCTGACAACCAGGTATCCGATTTTCCGGAGTCCACCCCGCAGCGAGGACAAAGATACTTGACTGTTAAACACATTGTGCTGAACACTGAGTCCTGATACGTCTATGAGCGGGAAATTTTGCTGTGGTCGTTCACTGGAGTCGAGTTCAGGTCCATAAAATGTCGGGTGCGAATCCTTTCTGACTTGCGAGACAGACACTACCATGTGCTTGCTGGTTGGTAAAGCGTAAAACGCTAACATAGCACGGAAGATGGATGTTGGGCAGCGGTGTCTGATCGGATGAAAAGGAATGACCAAGTGAGATACATTGTTTCTCACGGCCAGTCTGTTTTGTTGTCTCCTTGACGTCAATCACAATGACTGGAGTCAAGTATCATCAGGGTTTAGAATACGCCCCATTATCACAAGCCTACCTCTATGCCCAACCTCTGGTATCTTCTATGGCTAGATGTCGAGTGACTCTGGGCTGGGAGGAGATGATGTTGACAGGTGCGGGAGCCAATAATATAGCTCAAAGAGTCATTATTCGGAACAAACATAAAGGCTGCAGAGTCAGAAGTTAAAAGCAGGACCAGCTTTGCGTGCTCTTTGTTGGTAGAACGGTAGGTTGCTACTGAACCGAACAATGGCTGGGGCTTGTCTCCGGTACCATAGGCAGGGCCAACCTGGAACTGTTTCGCCAGAGTCCAGACCAGGACTGCTGACGGGATTGCACGACTGACCCGCTACCTGGATGATTGTAGAGAGCATGGATGTCACGGCTATTTCTAACAACAGTCATGACGAGCCCTCGTCTGGCCCCGAGGTGCCCCATTTAGTTTTCTGTCACTTACTGAAGCTGAGCACAAACCTACCAAGTCTGTACCAATGTCCAGGAACGCGAGGCCATCTTTGACAGCGCATGTTTGTTGTGAGTACCACAACAGACTGAAAGGAGCGATCGATCTAGAGGCCCAAGACTCCATGTCTTCCACACCCTGGCCCCGCTTCTTGATCAAGGCCATGCGAGACTCACAGGCGTTGACGGTGTGGCGATTCGACATGGCCTAAAATGTTCAGTCAGTGCCTGGCGTGCCCCTAGCCAACGCGGAGCGAAGGTGTAACGCAGCTGGAAGGTACTCAACACCACAATCTGCGGGTACGGCACAAAGTACTCCCGTAGAAGCTGCAGGAGCTCCAATTCCGCGTTGTACCACTTCTTGGAGTGGCCGTCGCGTGCCAGGTGAGCGATTTGGTCGTGGAGCCCCGCTTCATCACGGCCGCGGGCATGGGACGCTGGGGGATGATGTTGAGGGTGGGGGCTCAGGCCGGTGATAGGGTTTGCGGCGACAACGGCTGGGTGGGAGCAGCAGAGTGCGCGGTGGGTTGCAGCGATGACGATAACCACTGTGGCGGAGGCGGGGAATCTCGGCATGCTGCCCTTTCGTTGGTGATTCCATCTGGATGATCCCCAGCGCTTCCTTCACTGCTGTTGTCGCCCGCCGTATCAATGACCTTCTGGCGGACATCGCTTCAACCTTGATGTGGGCAGGCCAAGTCTCATCGACCATGTTATGTTCGTTACAATCATCTGAGTATGCCAATGTTAGAGGATAACACCATAACACGTACCATACGCGTTAGGCGAGTTTTATTCACAGGAGCAGGCTCAGTCCCGCTTCTTGCCTCATCATTTTCCGTGGCCCCGATTTGTCGGTCGAAGTGACAGTCCAGTGTGGTACAACGCCAGTGGTCGAAATGCTCAGTCAGGTTTTGCAGCTCAGGCGCCCTCGATTGGGCCAATCCAGTCACCGCCACCGATGACGGGAAAGCAGTAGCTCATTATCTTGCCCCAGCTGACATCGCAAATTGGGCAGAATTGGTCAATGATCAGACATTTTTCGTTGTTGTTGGCAAGGCTGGTAAATGAGAGGATAAGTGTTTACCGTGTTGTATCTTACGAATTTACGAGCTGGAAAGCATTGTGAACATCAGCTTCCAATGTTGCCGCTTGAGTCCTTCGCCTACTTCAAGCACCTCCTTATCTGTGGCCAATTGAGCTTCAACGCCCATGTACAAAACTCCCGCCGACATTCTGCTCTATGATACCTGATGCTCAATCTCTCCCTTCCATTACATGTAGCAGCCATCCATTGACGCCACTTACGAGGAGCAAGTGTAACAACTTTAGCCAGTCCGGTTCCCTCCGAGTCTGCCCACTCGATCATTTCGTCCTCTTCCTAACGGCTGCAGGAAGTCGATTGCTCGGAGACGGTATTCCTAGTGAACATAAGGTATAATCAAGTATCGAGGATTATAGACATTCCTCGCGATATCATCACGTGTTTGCTGACTTGTTAATACTTGACGCTGGGCGGCTGACACGGACAGAGTAGTGCAGGGGGCTTGGGAGGAGAGGTTGCTGAAGGAACGAGACGGCTGGGCGGCCACGAAGCCAGCCGAAGACTTCGACCACCAGCAGGAGACCCTGTTCAAATACAAGACTTCCCAAAGAGGCACGAGGGCCTGAGTAAGGAAAGGACTCCACCGCTGGTCCAGATCCGAACTGGGCCAATAGGCCTCTGGGACTTTCTCTTTAAAAGGAGTGTCCCGGAGGTCTTGACGCCCAGCTGCGAGTCTTGGGGAGGGCGCGAGACTGTCGAACACCTGGTGATGTGGTGTCTAGCGCCACCGTTGGCTCGAAGATGGGAGGGAGCCAAGGTTCGAACGCGAAGGGACTTTACTCTGTTCTACAGGGAATTAGTCCTACAGCTGTACGGTTAACCGGGACGATCCTAGGCTGGCTGATGGACTCGGAGAGGCTGCCAATGTACAATTTGGCCAGGAGGCTGGAGCTGAATCTCATGATCTGATGCCCCCTCTTTCGAAGGCTGGGAGGCCTCCTCTTTTTGTATTTGCAGGGCCACTCACTGATGGTTTCCTCAATTGCCGATATGGTTTTTTTTTCATCCGACCTGCAAGCGTATGGTTTTCCAGTATAGTAACAGTTGGAAATCCGACACGCCCTAGGGCATAACGGTGTAGGAATAATAATAATAATATTTTGACACTGCATCCAGCCGACTGAGCCGAGAGAGTCAGATCCCCCCTCGACCATTCGTTTCAAGACACCGGAGAACACCCCAAGAAGTACACAAGAAAGCTAGACACAGGGGACTTGTTGGGTGGAGAGGAAAGAGTGAGGCTCATAAGCTAGCGCGATACAGTCAAAAGGCTGGGAGGGCCGCATTTGAGTTGGTCCAGGACAACTGAGAGGATGATCTATCATAGATGATGGAGAGGAGGACAAGAGAACGCGAGATGTGGGATATTCCAATGACCACCCGAGCCACAGCAGATACCGCCACAAGGATATGGATTGGGAGATTCGTGCGCTGGCAAGAAAAGGGTGCAGCAGGCGCTACTGAGGGCGCACTTAGCCAAGGACGCACAAGATTGTTAACCGACCCATCACGACCAGACCAGCCTCGAGAAACTTCGAGTAAAGCATTGTTAACTGAGCATCGGCAAGACAGAGGAGCGAGCCCTCAAGCGGGAGATACCTAAGAGGAAGGACAAGGCGGCAGACGCGAATGAATACACCGTCTTGACTCTTGAGCGACTCCCTGTCAATCGGAGAAGAGCAGGCAAATATCGGCGAGAAGAAAGAATCCCGGCAAGGAGAATATGGTGGACGTTCCCGTATGGCACGTGCCACTAACCGGCACCTGGAGAACTGCCGTCGCATAACGCTCCCGGACTTCTCACTTGATCGACGATCCGGCGTGCGACGTCTCCAGGCTCGGGGGTGGATTGTGAGACAACAAGGGCCAAATCCTGACACACATGGCTTCGCCATGCAGATTGCATGCCCCTGCTACAGTTTCGCAGCTGAATTCTGTCCACGTTCATGCCCCTCCAGGATGAAGATCGCTTGTCCAGAGGTTGGCCGTTTTGCTAACCAGCCAGATTCGCAAGGGTCCAGACACACCGCCCACATGTGCAGCCGGGGATGCATGGCCGCCGGTCTCCTTTTGCATAGACCCCCTCGGGCATTTGCTAGAGGTGCCGGAAAAGTCAGCACAGGGCTTGTGGCGGCAAAGCGTTCATAGCGACGTCGGATTTCCTAGTTTCCCAGCGGGATCCCCGCCCCCTTCTCCCCTTTGTCCGCACTTACACAAATCCAGTTTGCAAGGCGAGTCCGGGGAACCCATGGCGTAGCGGCTCACCCAAATATCTCGGCGCCCATCCCGTCTCTTCTTTTCCGGACTCGACGTCTCTACAATCGGTGGGGCCCTCTTGTTGTGAAAGGCAGCCTGGCGATTGCCGCGAGCCCACGTCCATCATCGTATGCTAGGCCTCAACGACCACAATCTCGAGCAAATCTCTGGGCCGCCTTTAGCCTCGGCATCAACCCCGTCCTCGCGGTAACCACTACTCCGGAATGACACAACACACCGGAACAACACAGTGGACATGGCGACGGAAAACACACCAAGCAACACAGGCGACCTCGGCAGGTTGTCCAGACTATCGGCATCAACAGATTTCGGTCCGCAGATCAACTTTACCCTCTGGCTGCTGACAGCGCTCTCCGCCACCTTTCTCACACTACGAGTGTGGTGCAAGTCCCTGCGGCACCGCGGCCTCTGGTGGGATGACCACCTTCTCATTGCGGCATGGGTGAGTGCTTTACTTCTATCGACGGGTGGCTTGACTCTGCTTTGCTCACACCCAGCCCCGACCAGCTATGTCTCGTGGTGGATTGCTCCTTGATCTCGGCCTGTATCAACCTTGGCTTTGGCCGCCCGCTCACCCAGTTCAAAGCGGGCAACCTCGCCCCCTTTTTGCTCTATTCCAACCTGGCCGGCACTTTTTCCATCCTCGCGGCGCTGTGGAGCAAGACGTCGTTCGCCGTCACGGTGCTGCGCATCTCGTCAGGCTGGGTCAAAGCCTCGGTATGGTTCATCATCGTCACCGTCAACGCCTGTCTGGGGGTCGCCATTGTCATCACATGGGCGCAGTGCACGCCCGTTGAGAAAGTGTGGAGGCCGGGCCTGGACGGGGAGTGCTGGCCCAAGAGCATCCAGGTCAAGTACAACATTTTCACAGCCGGTTAGTTCACGCTGCGTTAAGGTACTTCAATTGCTCTTGTCGCGGCTGACAGCACAGTCTACTCCGGCGCCATGGATATGGTCCTGGCTGTGGTGCCCTGGAAGATCATCTGGGGCATGACCATGAACCGCAAGGAAAAGATTGGCGTGATGGTGGCCATGAGCATGGGTGTCTTGTAAGCCCTTTTCTTCCTTTGTTTCGCAACTTGAACTCCTGCCCTCTTCCTCCCCCTCCCCCTCACCCTCACCAAACCCCAGGTCAACATTTCGGGTTCACAGCAACTGACATATTCCCAGCGCCGGCATAACCTCGATAATAAAAATAACTCAGCTTCCTTCCATCTCCAACGCCACTTTCACCGAGTCCACGACCCAGCTCGTCATCCTGGCCGCTGCTGAATCTGCTATCACCATCATCGCCGCCTCCATACCCATCCTGCGCGCCCTCATCCGCGACTCGCGCCCGCCTCACGGACCGGCCCAGTTCTACCACACCCTGGACTTCAGCGTCTGCACTGGCACGCACGGCTCGCATGGGACGGGGAGCAACAGCGTCGTCATTACCGGCAGTGGTGCACATGGCAGATCTGGGAGTCGGCATGGCAGGAGTACAAGTCGCAGTCAGAGTCGTGTTCACAGCCAAACCCACAGCCGAAGCGCCTCGAGCACAAGCGCCGAGTCATGGAAAAAGAGCATGCACTCCCGCTCCCACTCACATGCACATTCCCATTCGCGAACGGGCAATTCCATTGGTGGACTCAGCCTACTCAGCGGCCTAAGCGTGACAGTGCTCGGAGGGGCCGGACGAAGGGGTGTCGACGAGACGGGCCAGCATGGACGGAGTGGGAGTGGCGCTGCTGCCATCATCACAACTACCACTGCCAGCGGGAGGGAGCGTCCGACCGGGGACATGCCGGTGCCGACGCCACCGCCGGGAAGGATCCTCGCGACTGAAGAGGTCGTTGTCGAGTTTAAGCAGGCTGAGCCCTTCCATGAGTGGCAAGGGAAGGGGTAGGGCCCTGGTGTTGGGCAGACTGTGCAATTCTAATTTGGGCTGCATTGTTGATATTATTTCCTCGGCGTTTTAGTGAGTGGACGAGTAGACCGTCGTAAGGGCCGATGGGAATGCTGCAAAGGGTCGTGACATGCAAGTGCGGTCTGGCTCTGAAGCGAGTGCCAGACATTACAAACAAGCAGTAACCATTGATGCTCGACGAACTGCCACAGGTCATAACTCGTCTCTTCGTTAGCTCTATCTATGGTGATTAAGGAGTTTGTATGTAACTACCTCCGTCTATTTTACATTACGCATTAAGTCTTGTCATCAGGTCTTGTCGTCATCACCCGTTAATCGCACATAAATGTCTCCCCCGTCGGCTGCCCATACAACGCCTCGTCAGAAAAATAGTTCTTGGGATACGCGACGTCGACACATTTCCCGCCACCCGTCGGCCCAACATGGGGGCAATGAACCTGTCTCTGGTTAGTGTCCATTCGGAGCCCCGATCCTTGAGTGCACTCACGTCAGGCCGCACCTGGGTGAGCACCAAGTGGATGCTGCGACACACGATGTTGTCCCCCCACACTTCGTCATACGAGCCGTACGTCTTTTGAGACAGCGCGGCCACGCACTCCCCGACGCTGCTCCACTGCGCGTTGGGCCCTTGGCACCTCATCTGAGTGGCGCCGCAGATCTGCTCGATGCTCGCATTGCGGAAGACAGGGTCGGTCACGTAGGAGGCCGTGGTGGCCTCGAACCAGCTGTTGAGGTTGGGGATCCAGGCGTCATACTTTTTCACGGCGCCGCACTTGTTGAAACGCCAGAAGGCCACCTGCTTCAGTGGCGGCAGCGGCTTGCCGTGGTCGGGGCTGCCCGGGTTCACGACGCTGCAGTACAGGTAGACGATCGAGGCCGCCACGTTGCGGCACTGCGAACTGAACTCGGTGATCTGGTACCCGGTGATGGCCGCCCTGACCGGGTTGGCCTCGGGCAGTGGGGAGAGGGCAAAGAAGTACTCGATCGAGTGCTCAAAATCCGTGAAGGTGCCGACCGGGTCGACCCGCCCGACGGGGTTGGCGCTGAACAGGCCTTTCGGGACGCCCACGCCGCCGGCCTGGAAGATGGGCAGTTGGTTGGGGTAGACTGTCAGGTTGTAGATGCGTGAGATGGTTTCGAAGTTGCGCCGCGCGTAGGAGCTCTCGGGCCGCTGGCTCTTCCAATGCTTCTTGGTTGGGGTTGGCGAGGCGTATGCTTGCGGGAGGGGTATCCGTATGAGATCGATCTGCAGCAGCGCCCATGCTAAGGCGAGGAGAGCGAAGTGTAACCGAAACATGATGCCGGCATGCGATTACAATATCCAGTCTCCACTGGAGGCGGCGAGGAAATGGCGGCATCTTAAGTATCGCGTCGTCCAGCCCGACTGTTGATTTTTTTCCTCAGAATCCCTGCGCTGGACCCAATTCATCGGCTCGGCAACGTGGCGGTCAACCATGGCGTGCGGTTCCGGCTATGCCCAAAGAAACCAAGGTCGCGAAAAAAATCACCCCAGCTTTTCCACAAATTCCATGGCAGCGGCGCGCACTAGTCCGAGCCCAGGCAATGCGACGGGGGCCCAGTCCCCGTCCCAAGGAGGAATTTCATGCATACGCATCTCGCTCAAGGACACCGATGTGTCGGGACGGTATTCGTGCTTGCCAGCGAAGACTGCGTCAAAGGTCCAAGAAGTCGCATGCAGAGCCCGCATGGACCGGCGCCCGAGTGACGTGTTCTGGCAGTTTGCTGGCGGGGCCGTTCGAGCCGGGGGCGGTCAGCGAACCAAAAGCGCCGCGCCCCGGACAACAAAACCCCGGCAAGGGTTGACGAGCTTGCGGCTGACATCATAGCACGGCAGTCAATTGAGCGGATTTGACGGCCATCGTGATGGAACACGAGCGCAGTCCCTAAAGCGAGCATCGAGGTCGTTGATGCCCGGCCTTCGGTTCAGCCTTCTAGTCCAAGTGTGGCTGTTAGGCTTTGGTTCAAGACAGTCAGTTGGTACGTTAAGTTTCAATGTTGATGGGGAAGCCGAAGAGGTTTTTGGGTTGCTTACTTATCACACTCGCTTTGTTGGCCGCTTTGTTGGGTAGCTTGGAAACAGCAGCCTGATTTCCAAGCACACAATTCCCATTGGCATTCAGGCATCAACCTCGGAGTCGGAACGACGTAAATCCAGGAAGTTCCTGAACCGATTACGGGACAGGGCACAAGGACTGGCTGGACCCGCTTCATCGGATGATGTGCAGCAGGAGGAGCCAAGGTTGTGGAAGCGAACCAAAGAGTGCATGCAACGCACAAGTCGACATCTCCAGCGCAATGTGGGCTCAAATCAGCCGGCCTGAGAGGCCGTTATAATACCGACGATTCGAGTCTTGGAAAATCAGAAATTGCCGCCGTCCTCGTGATCAGAGGCCTCGTCCTCCCACTCGAGCCAAACTCCTCATAGGCGCGCACCTCGCGGAGGCCACCAAAATGTGCAGCCAATGAGCGACACAGCTGCACGAGAACGCGGGGGTCGAGGTCGCCGTCGAGGGCCAGCGGCCAGTTGTTTGGCTGGACTCCCGGCAGCTGTTCGTGCTGCGCAACGCCCTGCAGCCACTCAGATGCGAATCCAGGGCGCCCCGCAATCTGAGCCGCCAGAGAATTGGACGAACTTAGCCTATCGCAAACACAAGATGCCCTCGTCAGTGTGATGGACCAGATACCCGGATGGAGCGAATGCTGTTGGCCAGGCCAGGCCGCCTTGGCATCCGATATCCCCTATTGCTACCGACAAGCGGTCCAACAGACTTCAGGCTCCAGGCAGAGCTATATCATGCTTCCTCCTGTTTGCGCCGTTCTGATCTCCGAGGGGCAAAGTTGATATCAACTCGCGATACAGAGGCCAGCCCTGCCAGGCAGATGTCGCCGTGTATACAAGGAGCCCCTGCCCACCCTCCTGGACTTTGGCCAGGACCGTGACGTGCCCTCCCGCCACACGACCACTTCTAGTTCGGACCGTGCCATGCGGCTCATGCCGCGCCGCGACTCATACCCGCTCGTTAACACCAGGCCACGGTCAGCGTAACCATGGCATCCGAGTCCGACAACGATATCGGCACGCTGCCGCACCACGCGCTTCTTATCATCATCTGGGTATGCTTCGGCGCTGCCTTCCTCCTCGTCGCCGTCCGCACCATCATCCGCATCCGCTCCCCAACGACAAGCCGATATGCGCCGCTGGAGGACTGCTGGATCCTGCTGGCCCTCGCCTCGCTGCTCTCGCTGTGTATTCTCGAGACGATCCAGCTGCCCAGTCTCTACTACATCACGGGCATCCTGACGGGCACCCTCCCGATCACCACGGTCGACGCCATCGTCTCCCAGACCGAACGCTACCTCCGCTTCCAGTTCCCCATTACCATCCTCTTCTGGACGGTGCTGTGGTCCGTCAAGGGCGCTTTCCTAGCCCTCTACTGGCGCCTGTTCCGCGACCTCAAGTGGTACCGGCGCGCCTGGTTCGTCCTGGCCGTCTTCACCTTCCTCGCCTACGGCGGCTGCGTCACGACTCTTTCCTTGTCATGCGGCCCGGACATTCGTAACTTCTTCGCCTTCAACAAATGCAACGGGCCCCAGCACGTTTGGTCGAGCAACTTTAGCGTCTACTTCAGCACCGCTGTCGACGTCTTTACCGACCTGTGCATCATGGCCATGCCGCTGCGCCTCATCTACAACGTCAAGGTCTCGCTGAAGCAAAAGATTGGCCTGGTCTGTGTTTTTAGTCTGGGCTTTGTCATGATTGTTTTTGCAATCATCCGCGCAAACCAGACGCTGTCCCAGCAGGGCTTTGTCAACCTCACCATGATGATGGTCTGGTCGACCCTAGCTGCCTCGATATGTAAGTCCCAGCTTTTCTCGGGCACCGTCTGACCAGCAGTCGCTGACAACCCCCAGCCGTTCTTGTCGGCACATTACCCGCCCTCAAAGTCCTCATCACCACGCGCGCCCGCGCCTCCGAAAACCGCTCCGGCAACGGGGGCTCGAGGAACAGCACAAAACGGAAAAGCTCAAGCTTCGGTACGCACACCAAGAGCGTCAAGAGCGTTGCCCTCGGCTCACTGCGTGGGGATAGCACCAACTTGAAGTCGGGCGCGAACTCGAACGCGAACGAGTCGCAGGAGGAAATACTGGTCCAGCGGGATGTGGTACGCTGCCCTAGCAGCGGAAAATGTTGCGCCACAAGCTAATTTCGTCTCACAGACCGTCTCGTACAGCCAAGTCCCGCGTCCGTCTCCCGTCCGTTATCACCAGAGATACCAGGATCCATAGATTCATTGGCTCGAAGCCAGGCTCGGAGGGCATGGAGTTTCCGGCTAGATTTCCTTCCTGGTCACCCAACATATTCCGATTTAATGATATTGGTGTATTCAATCTTCATGCGCAATGGCCGCCTGGCCCTGAATGTTTGTTGCTGTTACTCTCCTTTTTTGGCGGGCCAGAGTCAAACAGGACGTGACAATGATCTGCAAAAAAGGGGTGCTTTTGGCTCATTGAGAATCTGTCATCAAACATGCCATCACTTACCACTCTCCAGCTGCTTCAATCCACGTCAGACCGTTAGAAGTCGGGGCTGTTTGATGGTGGGTGGAGTTAGAAGCAGCCATCAAGAGGATTCGAGCGAGAGGGAACAAGGGCCACAAGGCTCTCAGCTGGACAATGACAGTAGGCTTGGCTCATGACCTTGTTACGGATTTTCTTCTTCTGCACGTTTCCTCCTCAATCCAATCATCTGAAACCCATCAAAGGCATCAACACCAGTCCCTTTCAACAGAGCAACCACGCCGACTATCAGTTATTCACCACCACACAGCGACCCAACTGCTTGTTGAGTCGAGGGTGCTTCGAAGTCCGCTGCGCCGTCCTAGCAAATGGAAGATCCTGCCTTGGCATAGCCGTATCTCTGTGCTTTGGGATTAGCCTCTGACCCTCAAAATGTGCTACAGAAGTGTTACTTGCCTTGTTCCACGCAGGAACATGAAGATAGCCGGGCTCCATCCAACCGTTGCTGCGGCCGTGGCAGTTGCCCGCCGCCCAATTGACGGCGTCAACCCACTCGTTCACGTTGCATGGGTTCGTAGTGTAGGCGCACATGTACGACACCGACGTGCCCTGGTACTCGGTCAGGACCGTGTTCCGGGGAAATTTGTAGCCGCCGCCCGCCGCGCACGTGGCATAGAAGGCGTCCCAGCCGTGGTCGTAGAAGTCGGTGAGCAGGAACCAGTCTCCGCCGGGGCACCAGGGGTAGGTGCCAGACGGCCAGTTGAAGCGCTTGTGGATGCGCGAGCTAGAGCCGGCGGCGTCACGTTTCGGGATGGCGGGTGCAGGGGAGCTGGTGACGTTGGCCGTGATATCGGTCCAGGTCAGCTTGCCATCGTCGTCAAGGCTCATGATGTAGCTTCCATCAGGGAGTTCCGGGAGTTGGATGGTCTGGGACAGCGCCGAGCCGAAGGCGGCTGACGAAAAAAGGATGGATGAGAGCTTCATGGTGAATGCGTGAGCCTAGGAGTTCTTTGTGCTGTTGTTCGGTGACTTGAGAAGTTGAGATCTGGTGAACAGGCAAATGAATTGGATCTGATGACCCCTTATTATACTCAATCGAGAGAGCTGAGATACCAGTTTTTCATTGTTTGCTCCTCATGATGTCTGCTCGCGTCTGCCTACAGCAAGACGGACACAATGCAAAGAAAGGGCTGTAGTTTCTTCGCGTAATCGCGCTTGCTCGAGTTTACTCAGCGCCCTCTATTATTTCTGGACCTTGAAGCATGTCGGAAGACCTCGCCTATGTACTCTGTGTCAGCATGAGCATTAGCGACGCTGCGGTGTTACACCAACGTCAATAGCCTCAACCTTGGTTCGCTAGTGCCTAGTACTTCAACAGCGCAACAACCATAGTACGTGGATTCGAGACTTGGGTCTCACTGCATCTGGTAAACGAACTGGCCAGTCGCTGCTTTTACACCTGAACAGTGAGCCATCATAGGGGCTCTGTGACAAACACTGTTGTGAGTTGATTGAGGTCGGGTGTGGGCTGCAGTATCCGGGGGACAAGCTCCGCAGCAGCCCTGGGACCAGTTCACCACTAAATCTCACAGTACCTCAGCTCCCAACAAATCTTTCATGGATAGAGTAAACCGGTCCCAGCAACCCGATTGCGCCCTAATATCCCCAGCTACCGAAATCAAGAACCCCCAATGTTTCTCGTGTCAAGCCCCTAGCGTAAGCCGCTCCTCTCTCCGTTTTTCCTTCGGGAGCATTTCCAAGGCCGTCCATCGGATTGGGCACTGCCGCTGCTGTTGGCCGCAGCCCGCCTGTTCCTCCGGATAATGGACGCGCGCGTCTCGCAAGCGAAGAAGGTCCTGCCGAGCCTACCGAGGTAGTGCTGTGAATGGGATGCGCAGGACACCTAGTCAGCTCATGCCCAAGCATCCAACCCCCACGATGACTTTTGCGCTTACCGCTGAGATCAGTCTGTGAGAAACGCGGCGATCCGAGAGAAACATCAGTAGGTCGTCTTCCTCCGGCAGCCATGGCCGGCGGGACGCAGCCCCGGGTAAGAGAGCCTGGGGCAGTCGAGCCACGAGAGTGTTGAGCTGTGCCTGGGTAGCATCGTCGAAAATTGGCAGGGGAGGCAACGGGCCGGCGGGCTGCAGGGCGCTGGCAGCCTGAGCGGGCTTGACGGCAGGGGCGGCGGCGACGACACCTTGACAGGTGCTGCGCTGGGCGGTGCTCGGCTGCTCGGCGATGGCCACATGGCCAGTGTTGGCATCGTCGGCGATGGTGGCCTCGGCAGCGGTGGGCTTGGCCAGCGTGGCCTCGTTTGTCACGGCATTTTCGGCGCTAGCGGCATCCAGCGCCGCGGCAACGGGACCAGCGATGGAGTTGCTGGTCTGTTCCCTCACAGCTTCATCCACCAGCCTCATCAGTTCGGGGTCGATTAGGCTGGGGTCCATGTTGCCAGCATCGCTGTCTCGCTTGTCCGCGTGCGAGTGGTTGTTTCCGGCCATTTTCTCTCGTCGACAAGTTCTGTCTAATAATGATGGTGGGATGCTTTGTGAGCCAGACCGGCTAAAGTTTTGATGCTGCGTCGTTTGATATTCAAGTGATCGGCGGGAACAAAGAATGGAAGGAGGAAAAAAGGTGTTTGAGGTGATCGAGACGATCATTAATGCGAGAATTGTTTGTGCCATTGGAACTGTTTGCTTGCCGGTCGACCACAGTCGCGCTTCGTGCTTCTTGAAGGTATCTGACAGTCGACGACAGCCGCAAACCATAGGCCTCATCAGTCGACGACAGTCGGATTCACAAGCTTCGTCAGTCGAAAACAGCCGCAGGCCATGAACCCCGTCAGTCGGCAACAACCGCGTTCAATGAGCAACTCTTGTAGTGCCAGTCGACGGCAGATGCGGTCGATATGCTGTCAGGTCCTGCATATTTTTTTTTTTTTTTTGGTAATACTTTGCTCTCACTCTCTGTATGCGTCGAAGATGCGGAGTGGCCTAGTGATGTTGTATGTTCTGCGAGGATGTCTCTGTGAGGGGTTGGCAACGTCCTAGGACCAGAGGCTCTGTTCTGTCAGTCACTAGGATGCAGACCATAGACGCTCTGATATCCATAGACAAGTTAGTTGACAACCCGGCTTTGAGATCCTTGGCAGTCAACGACGGCTGCACTTGCAACTTTGATAGCCTCATCGTCTGTCAACAGATGCCCTTCATTGGCCCCTGAACACGTATCCTACCAGGGGTTGGGTTTTGATGCCTTGCTCTGCCGGTCAATCAACATCAGGAGCATAGCAGTGACTAGCTTACCTAGGCTGCACTAGCAGTCACAACAAAGGGACTTTATGCGGCTTTGGTACCTCTATCTCGTCAGTCCACAACAGCCACCTGCTGTAGTAGTATGCGTGCTCATATCCGGGTTCTGCCAGCTCCTTCTGGATATCCTGTAAGTCGTTGACAACTGGACTCCGAAAACCCTAGTCAACATCTTGTCAGTCGTCGACAGCTGCGTTTTGCCAGTCTGTGCGACAGGAGTCAGTCGCTGTCATTGTAACCGAGTCTGCTTGCCTCCAGCCCTTTCCTGAACAAAGGCATAGGAGAAATGGTGGCTGACTTATGGCAGCACTTCCGCGAGGCCAAGGTCCAGCAGCGCCTGCTGGACGCAGCGGACCGGCTCTACGCCAACCCGACCAAGGAGAGCGCCGACGACATGCGCAAGATGTGTATTTGCCTGGCGGCTCTCAACAAGCCCCACCGCGGCCACAGCCGTAACCTCTACCCCGCGGGAACCGAGAACTCACCTGTCTGCGTCCCTTCGTGTCCTCTTCTTGGGGGAGCTTACGCCTTCTCGCTGGTGCGGCGGGAGTTCGACGTTGACCCGGACCAGTTTGGCATCGTCGACTCGCGGTATCAGCCGGCGTGGAAGACAGTCGGCGACGAAAAAGTGGATCAGGAGTGCTATGACTTGTGGCTCAAGACGCATGCCACGATGGCGATGGTCCGGAAGATGGCGTCGTTGGAGCTGGCCGAGCAGACAGCCTACTTGGCGGAATTGGGGAGGCGGCGGTCGAGAAGAAAACGGCCAAGGGCGAGGACGACGATGGACAAATCTGTGAGGCGGGCAAAAATGCGGACCAGAATCCGGAAACCACTGCGATTGAGACCAGCAAGGACGGTGGCAATGAGGACAACTATTTGACCTCCCCAGCACAGGCAAGTGAGCCTGTCGCCCAAAAGAAGCGGCTGCTGCCCCAGCCGGTGGAAACCATCAAGGCCAGAATCAACGTCAACAACGGCGCACCACTGCAGTGACCGCCAGTGCCAGTCCTGCCACTCCGGACTCAACATCCCTGCCACCTTGTCGACACACCCAGGCAGACAAGCCCGTCGAGGATGAAGATATTTGGTGGGCGTTTGCGGGCGCCGTGAAGAATCTCGTGTATCAGGGTGTCGAGATGGCGATTATAAAGTGCAAGGAGAACAAAGGGGTCTATCTGTCGCTGGGGCAGTGGAGTCCCAAGGAAGGGGAGAAGTTTATCTTGGGATGGAGCAGGCCATGAGGTCTGCTCGGGATGCGGTTGTGAGGGAGGTAGAGGCGGAGATGAAGATGGGTGTGGGGAAGAAGGAGAAGAACAAGGCCGGTGGTGTGGTTGAGAGGTGGATGGGCATGTTTGTGTGATCATGATGTTTTCGCGCGTTGAAGATGATGGGAGAACGCCGGCTTTGGTCGTTGTGGAAGGAGACTTTTAAGGCTGTGGTGGTGGCTGGCCACTTAGGGTGAGGCACAGCAACCTGAAAAAAAAAAAAAGGACTAAATAAGGGTGTAATTGGAAGCACGTGGAATTGCTACTGTGTCGAAATTAGACGGCTAGAGTCGCCTCAGTCAATTGGTTCGAGCCCGCTCTGAGTCCCAAAGTAAGAAGAGGTCAGAAGACCCGCTCAGAGACCAAGACAGGAGGCGTTGAACTGTAAGTGAGCGAGAGTCTGTTGTACAATGGGTTACACAGCTCCGTCCACCTCGCCATCTAACGAGCTTTTCAAGGTCTCTGGTTTGAATCCAGGGCCGGTCCTTCCCTAGCGGGCAATCGTTAAGTTTCTGTCTCTCTTCATTTATTTTTCTTTTGGTTATCCTGCTGTTTCACTCAACTTGATCAGGCTGCTACTGCACTGCCATGACTGGCTGCCGACCTTCATGGACGGCTCCGGCGCTCTCGCGGGCAGTTTGGCAGCCAAACTTTTGCTCGAGTTCCAGTAAGGTATGTCCGAGTCTCGTCCCAATTCATAGAGTGAAGCCCAACTTGCCATCGGCTCCAAGACTTTGGAATCCACCTACTGTAGTGCTTCCTCCTCTCAAACGCCGGTTGCTATTGTAATCTGGAAAGGCACGGAGAAACTTAACCGAATATGCACCGAATGTCTAAGTGCGGAAGTCATGGTTCTCCACCCGGGACGGGAACCGAGGCTCATAGTGGGGCCGGAAACCTGACATCCAGGCTCCCAGTCTACCCGCTACCTTAACCTAGCACTTCTAACCATCCTGACATCGATAACAAGTCCTTCAATACTCCGATTGTCATTCGGAATCACGACAGACATCATGCCCCAATCCTTCCGCGTAGTCGAGCACACGGTCGCTTGCTCACACTCGCGCGAGTACGCGACGGCAACGGCCCACGGCGACGGTGACCGGCCACGGCTTGCCGTCAAGCAGTACATACCCATAGACAACCCAAACCCACAGCCAGGTGATGTCACCATCATCGGCGCCCACGCGAATGGCTTCCCAAAGGTGTTTCTCCATAACTTCGATCATCTGTGTCGACTTCTAACGTTCTAATCCGTTTCAGGAGTTGTACGAGCCACTCTGGGATGAGCTGCACGCCCGAGCTGCAAAAAGTGGCATCCGCATCCGGTCCATCTGGATCGCCGACATGTGGAACCAGGGCCAGTCTGGCGTGCTGAACGAGGAGATACTTGGCAACGACCGTAAGACGCGGCAAGCCAAACACGATCCCACAGCGACTGACAGCCCGCAGCCAGCTGGTGGGACCACACCAGAGACCTGATGAACCTCATCAACATGAAGCGCGACGAGATGCCACACCCGCTGGTCGGCATCGGCCACAGCATGGGCGGCGCGCAGCTGTAAGCCCCCCCTATGCCGCATTCAACCACCCACTAACCCTTTAGCGCTTTCCTCTCCCTCTGCAACCCGCGCCTCCTCCGCTCTCTCGTGCTCCTCGACCCAGTCATCACAACCACTTCAAGCGGTTTAGGGCCGGCCTTGGCCTCCACCAGCCGCCGCGACATCTGGGACTCCCGCGCGTCAGCCGCGCAGAAATTTGCCCAGTCCAAATTCTACCAGTCCTGGGACCCGCGCGTGCTAGACCTCTGGATCCAGCACGGCCTGCGCAGCGTGCCGACCGAGCTCTACCCGTCCGACTCTCCGTCTACCGACACCCGCGTGACGCTGACCACCACAAAACACCAGGAGCTGTTCAACTTCCTCCGGCCGACGTATCGGGATGGCGGGAAGCTGCCGGACTGGGACTCGGAGGTGTTGGGCGACATTGAGTTCCGGCGGTACCCGTTCTACCGGCCGGAGCCGTTGCACGCGTTCAAGCGGCTGCCGGAGCTGCGGCCGAGCGTGCTGTACGTCTTTGGGGAGACGTCTAATGTGTCGCCGCCTGCGGAGCGCACGGCCAAGATGGACCGGACGGGGACTGGAACCGGGGGCAGTGGTGGGGCGGCCAAAGGACGGGTGAAGGAGGTGGTGCTGGACTGTGGGCATCTCGTGGCCATGGAGCGGGTGGCCGAGTGTGCCGATGCGGCAGTTGGGTTTCTGAAAGGGGAATTGGAAATGTGGAAGAGGGAGCAGCGGGCGTTCGAGGAGGAGCGGGCGCGGGTGGGGAGGAGGGAGTTGGTAATGGTTGATGAGCGATGGAAGAGCGAGCTCAAGCCCAAGCCAAAGATCTAAAGGGATGAGTATTGGATATAATGGATTCTGTAACTGCGCCTTAAATCATCATACAAGGGACACTGTGGAATAAAGAACCTGGAGGCAGAACCGGAGCACCCTGCCGAAGAAAAGCGCGAGCGCGATATGAAGCTACTGTTGTCAGTTTCTTCCCTCGATCCTTTTTGCTTTGCCATTTGCTTTGACTTTTTCACACGTCCGCGCCACTAAGCTTGCCAGGCTCAGACATGAGCCTACCACTCTGCCCAGTATTCCTTCCCCTGTCACAGCACCATCTTCTGCTTTTTGTGTGTAGGAACTCCAATGCTGATGTCATTTGCATCTCGGTTAGGTTAGGTTACCTTCTCGTCCACTCGACCTCTGCTGCGTCGAATCCAGGAAAGCACTGCCATGGCTGGAGACACTCCGCAAGGTTGGGAAGACGCGGCACGGTGGGCATGTTACTGTTCTGGGTTTTTACTCGCTCTATTTGTTATTTCTTTCCGTCACTGACACCCTCCAGAGTTCAGACAGACTTGCCACTCGCCCCGAGCCACAGCTTCCGCCGCCATCGACATCCAAAGCTATTCGAATCGATCACGTCTTCTTCTTCTTCTTCTTGGCATCCGCCAGGATATCCTCCGCCGCCTTCGCGCTCAACATCATAGTCGGGCAGCTCGGGAACGCGCCCGGCACGACAGGGAAGGCACTCGCATCCACCACCCGCAGCCCCTCGACGCCACGGACGCGGAACTTGGAGTCCAGCACCGCCATCTCTTCCTCATCCCCCCCGATCGCGCACGTCGACGTGGCATGGTGCGAGTACGCCTGCAACTTGAAGTACTCGGTCTGCAGCTCATCCGTGCATAGCTGGTCCGTGTCCCCGTTGCACGGATGCTTCTCGACAAACGGCGCGGCGGGCTCCCCCGCGGCGTTGAAGGCCTGGCGCAGCAGATTCGCCGCCTCGACCAGTTCGCGCAGGTCTTGATCGCCATGACGCTCGAAGAAGCGGAAGTTGATGTCGGGCTTGTCCTGCGGGTCCGCAGACACCAGGTTGACGGACCCGGCCTGCGACTTGGGCGCCATGTGCACCATGGCGCACGTGTACTGCGTTGGGCCGTGGTAGGTCGGGAAGCCCGGCCAGAAGCCCTCGAAGGAAAAGGCACCGCACCAAGTGTAGATGTTTCGCTTTTTGGTCGGAGCCGACGGGGTGCGGAAGAGCAGGGTGATGAGGCCTGACTCGACCGGCGCCGAGCCCATGGCAAGGAGAGAGCCCTCGTAGTTGTCGCCGAGGTTCTCGCCGACGCCGGGCAGGTCCTTGACCACGGGAATGTTGAACTTGGTCAGCTCGGCGGCCGGGCCGATGCCGCTGAGCTTGAGGATCTGGGGGGAGTTGAAGGCGCCGCCGGAGACAATGACCTCGCGGCTGGCGAAAATCTGCGACACCGGGCCCTTGGTACCGGGGACGTGCTTTGGGTCAGCCTTGTATAGCGACGCGCCGTCCATGACCTCGACGCCGATGGCGCGCGGTGTGCTGCCTGCCTTGAGGGTGGCATTGTCGAAGAGCACGCGCGTGACGAGCGTGTGCAGCTTGACGGTCAGCGGGTACTTGGCCGGGTCGGCCAGCGTCGCCCGGATGTGGTTGTTCGGACTGCTGCGCTTGCCTTTGCTGGTGGCATGCGTCACCATGTTGTAGAAGGAGGTCGTCTCATCCACGTTCTCGCCGACCTCGTTGATGTCACGGTTGACGAGGTCGGCCGCCTTGTCGGGATCCTGACCCGTGAGCTTGGCCAGCTTGCGGAGCATCCTGGTCCCCGGCAGGCTGTCGTTCTTGGCCCACGAGTTGTCGGCGACCGAGGTGGCGAGCCAGCCTTAGCTGTCAGTAGGATGCACAAGGGCGTAGGCGTGGGTGGCTCACCATCGTAGCCGTGGGCTTCGTCGCCTGGAGGCAGGTACTCGTTCTTTTCAATCTTCTTTAGGTATTTGCGCATGTTCTCGGCCGACCAGCTCGTGTCGCCCGTCTTGTTGACGACGATGTTCCAGTCATCGTCGGCAGGCATCGAACAAACCCCAGCGTTGTGCATTGCGCAACCACCGAGCACAGCCGCTAAGTGTTGTCAGCTACAACCGGTTGCGACACGGCGAACGAAAAACTGACCTCGGGGATACTGAATACCGAGCAGCTTGGCGCCCTCAGGGGGATCCAATCCGACGTAGAACGTGCCTTCGCCGGTGTCCCAGGTGGTACTGAGCGGTCAGTAAGTCTCATCTACGCCAGAGACGCCAGAGTGGTCGAGACTTACTGCTTGAATTTGAGGTCCCGTGCCGGGTCATCCGAGTGCTTGACCCAAAAGTCCCAGCGCGTCGTCTCGTCGTTGGCCGCTTCGTTAAAATTCATGATGTCGGCGTACGTCGGGTTATCGCCCTCATCGCCGCCGGCCTCAATCAGGAGCGTCGAGTACCCGGCTCTCGCCAGGTCAGCGGCCAGGGGTCCGCCACCAGGACCGCTGCCAACCACAATGTAGTCGTAGGACGACGCCGCCGGGGTAGCAATTGCCGTCGAGGCGGCGACGGCACACAAAAGATGGTAGCGCATCTTGATCCCGATTCCAGTCGAGTACGAGAACAAGTGTGCCAGGCACGAGCTGCTGTAGCCAATTCAAGCAGCGACGGAAGCCCATTTTGAGCAGTTCGCTGTCAGGGTCGCCTCCGGCATTCATGGCGCTGCGGGGGCCATCTCCAACAGCAATATGGATTCAATTCCGGATATTGAGGGGCCGCTGACCGTTTCTTGAAAAGGCATCTATAGATGCTGGGACAACCGTTGCAGTGCGGCAGCTTAGCCTGTCCCATTGGCTCTGGCTAAAGTGGTTTGTAGATGCGGTCCACACGGAGGAAGAAGTAGGGACCAGACGGCAGTCTTCTCGACCTCACCCCAGCCCCTATTAGGCGGCTGTTCTTGGCTTGGCGGTTCCGGAAAATTGGGCAATCGACGAGAGTGGCCAGTCCAGTTATTGTCGAAGGACCTTGCAGCGTTCCGAAGAACAACAGTGACAACAGCGGCACGGAGGGGTCCATCGGCTGAAGGGCGAAAGGGTGGTTGAAGACCGCAGGAAACCGAGCCAATTCGGGCCTCCTCACCGGCGGCTTCAGATGACTTCCTGGTGTAACTGAACCCTAAGACGATTCTCCTCTGCAACATATTATCTTAGAGATCGATGACCTGACCGTTGAATAGGCAACCTGAAGCCTTGATGTTTCTTCCTAAACCCGAGACTCAGGAGCAGGTGGAGCCCAAGTATCGCTGCCCAACCACTGTCTGGCAGGTGGATGTTCATGGTGCGTCAGACGAACTCAGGGAAAGATCCTAACATAGGAAGCTCGCGAGCCGCCATGGACCGGGGTTGCTCGAACGGGGGAGGTATTACTCGCGGCTTCTGGACTCTGGAGACTGGACCTGAATGGGACCATGGCGAAGCCGAACCATTGTTGCTGGAGAATCTGTTTACTGTTGACAAACCGGTTTTCTGATCCGACCCATAGCTCCGATGCTCGAATCCTTTGGTTCCTACCTGGATGGTGTAATTCTAATCAGCATCCGTATGCTCGACTGTTCTGGGATAGAGGACAAGTCGGAATCGGCGGGTGGTGAGCACCTAATGTACTCTGCTCCAGCAGACCCAGACATGATGTGGCGCTATCTCCGGCGTTAACCCCGACCTACGTTCCTGTTGGAGCAACGCCTGCATCATGCTTCATCGTGAAGGAGGTGATGGAAGACGCATTCAAGTGAGTGCCGCATTGCCCTTTGCGCTTTGTTTCTCAAGTGCGTAGTAAGCCCTCCACGGCCAAGTTTGCAGCGCACCCTTGTTCTCTCATCGGTTTCGGAGACGCCAACGCCTATCACGTTTGCTGCTCTCACACAAGCTGCCATTGTCGGCGTATGTCCGCCTATCTCATAGATCCCTCTAGCATTGCTAACCGCATGCAGGCCTGGGGTCACATTGGGCGGCACATCACCAAGGTCCCGGTAGATGCCGGGAAACACGCCGTCACGGCCCTCACTCGCCCCGGCGGCAAAAGCAAGCTCCCAGAGGGCGTCAGCGGGGTCGAAGTCGACTACGACAACGAAGCCTCCATCGTTTCCGCCCTCCAAGGCCAACGGTTCTTTGGTCATCAGCCTGGCCTTCAGCGGGGCGCCTCCCGACCTGCAAACGCGGATCGCCGCGGCGGCGGCCACGGCCGGGGTCCCGTACGTCATGCCAAACACGTACATCAACCCGGTGACGGCGGACGACGTCAGGTCGGCCGACGACTATTGGCAGGTGGTCCTGAATTAGATCTCCGACGTCGCGAGCAACGGTATGTCGGCCTTCGTCAACCTAGCATGCGCGTTCTGGTACGAGTGGAGCCTGGCGACGGGTGAGCAGTGGCTCGGCTTCACCATCGGGGAGCACAAGGCGACCTTCTTCAACGACGGGCGGCGCAGCATCACGGTCAGCACGTGGGACCAGTGCGGGCGGGCAGTCGCGGCGTTGCTCAGCCTGCCCGAGTCTGGGGCGTCGCCGTCGCTGGCCGACTTCCGGAACAGAGATGTGCCGATCTACAGCTTCCGCGTTTCGCAGCGCGACATGCTAGACAGCCTGCACCGGGTGCTGGGCGCGACGGACGCCGACTGGGAGATCACGTACGAACCGACGGCCAAGCGGATCCAGGACGGCACGGCCGAAATGGCGAGCGGGAAGTTGACGGGGCTTGCCAAGGTGCTGCTGTTTCGGCGCGTTTTCGACCCGAGCAGTGCCACGAGCGACTACGCCGCCACGGCGCAGACGGCCAACGAAGCCTTGGGGCTGCCCAAGGAGGATCTCGACGAGGGGGGCAGGAGGGCGGTGGAGATGGTTGAGAAAGGGGTGGAATCCTCTGGGTCTCTGAGTAAGGTAATCGAGAAGCAGCCGTCCGCCAACACAGAGAAGGGTCGTCGGCGGCCTTGACTCCTCGGTCGTTCCAGCGGTATTCTATTATCAATGGAGAATCCTTGGATTTGTTGTCGACTGAAGCTGATGTGGAACCTTCAAGCTGAGATTAGACATTAATCACGAGGGGCACATTGCCGGGTACCTTATCAGCAATATTCAAGAGGGCACCCCAAAGCCTCTTCTCCTTGACCTGACCAAGGCCCAGGTCCCAGCGATATGCAGCGGCGATCAATGGAGGGAAAAGCCATCAATCGCACGCAAGGGATTTTGCGAGGCATCGCCTTGCTCAACACACTCACTCAGTCCTGCTCGTCTCAGCCCCAGTCATTTAGTCCTCTCGTTGGGGAGAGTGCACAAACCTTGCCCTCTTGCTGGCGCTCCCTCTCGTCGGCCTCAAAGGAGAAGACCTTGCCCTCTTTTCGCCGCCCTGCTTATGAGCGCCACGCAAACATCCGGGCGACTCAGAACTCTCTTCGCAGCAGCTCCACATGAATCCCTGGGGTTTGTCCTCGCACATCTCCGGGCTGTCGTGGATCTCGTCGCCGTAGCAGTCCACCCATGCCTCGCTCGCGTAGTCGATTTCAACGATGCCTGGGCCATCGGTTCTAATTCTTGTTGTCGTATTGCCAATTGGCCTTGAGGGCAGCACTTACCGGGATGATAGAGACAAGAATCGGTTGTATTTGGGCCTCGTTGAACGCCATTTTACAGTTGAGGCAGATGTAGAGCGTTGGGCGCGAGTTTACGCTGCTGGTATGCCGCTGCAGCCTGATCGGGCTGGCGAAACAGCTTCTCAGCCTTCCTCTTGGTTGTGTCATTGTTGCAGAGGCCTGTGAGCACCGTGCGAAGCTCGCGATCGGTTGCGCTATTGAGTGCGCGCGAATATGATCGGTCATCGGAATAGGACGGGCGTTGGTAGCCCCGCCACTTTCAAACACCCAGCTGTGCTGCTCTAATGTTTTCAGGGCTGCGACGCGCACTCGCCAGGCCTTAACTATCACCTGGAATCTTAGGATGGACAGCGCGGAATGGCGCGAAGCCACCTGACTTTGAAATTACTCAACAACATCCCGGCCAGGCCTTTAAATAATCTCCGTAAACCGCCGTAAGCGACACCCAAAATGGCGTAGCTCAACCCCTACCTCGGATTCCGGCGGCTGGATGCCCATTGGCCGCATTGGCGGTCAGGATACCTTCTTTCTTCGCGGGGTTTTGTGGCAGCCGTGAGCATCCACGCATCCTCATCTGCCGATTGACCACCACGGATGAAGGTAAGGTAACTGGCAGGTTTGCCGCTTTGGATCTAGCAGCTTCCCTTGTCCTCACTCAGCTTTTCTCGTGATTTCCAGTTGCCGCCCAGAACGTCAGTTCCAGTCGCGACGCCGTGTTCGCTGAGTAACGAACTGCCTTAGCGACTTAATTCCTCTCTGCTGCAGTGGAGTCCTGTGAACGGATCCTGCACACTCGCGGGAGCCCGGCCGGATCCGGTCAAGCCCGACACCGGCACCACCCCCACCTGCTCCCGGTGTTCGACCGCCCTGGGGTTTCAGATGGATGCGTGGCACCAGCCGCACAGCTGCCGTGGAGGAGGGCCACGGCTTCCCGGCGTCGCCCTTGTCGCCAGTCTCCTTCTACACCTGTGTCTCCTCTCCCCAGCAAGCGGCGCCCCCCTGGCCCGCCTCTCCGAAACCCGTTGCTCCCCAAGACCGCGCCTCGACCGCCGCGTCGAAGGCGAACATGTCATTCTCGCCGACTGCAAGGCCGGCGACGACCTGACCGCCACGCTCTCGTCCCAAATGGCCTACTTCACCGGGGCACCCGGCCCGTCGCCCAGGGACGTCGCCGTCATCGCGACCAATCCCGGCGAGACGGCGCTGTGGGCCAACTCGAACACGACCGGCTTCTTCACCACCTCGAGCGTCACCTTCACCGCGAACCTCGGCCCCCGCGTCGACGAGGGTCAGTTCGCCGGCACGGGGAACAACGGCTACGGCGACTTCAGCTGTTACCAGCGCTACGTCAAGAACCTGTACAAGTACGGCAACAACGTCTGCTCGCAGGTGTACCTGTGCGACCACAGCCACCCGCCGCCGGGTGGGTTAACCCCTCTCAGGATCTTTCCTCGTTATTCTTCCACTCCCTCCTGATAGAACCGATGAGCGATGCTGACATGAATCGGTTCACCAGTCGACGCCAGGGGCTCCAAGTCAAGTAGCAGCATGTCACAGGGTACCATCATCGGCATCGCCGTCGGGGTGGTAGGCGGGGTGCTCTTCCTCGTCGCCACGGGCCTGGTGATCTGGTATCTGCGGCGGTCCCGCCGGGCCCAGGCCGCCCGTACCATAACCGCCAGCGAGCGGATGTCGGCTACGCTCTCGCCCGGATCTGAGTTTGCCGAGCTCAAGGCGCAGAGCCCGGCGGTAGAGGCAGCAGCTATGCACGAGATTTACGAGATGGACGGGCGGCCGCTGCGCAGCGAGATGGCCGATGATACCGGCAAGGTCGAGCTTGACCCGAGCGGTCATGGCAACGCTGAGCTGGATCCGGCGGCAGCCAAAGGGCAGGGACCCTCTTCGGCTGCTACGGAAAATACGGATCTAAAGGTGGTCTCACCGGTCAGTCCGCCGGTCTTGGACTCCCCTCCAGGTACTCAGCCGCCGAAGTCGCCTCCTCCAGAGTATGCTAGTACGGGCCATGATCGCAGCGAGGAAGAGCGCGGGTAATGGTAGCAGGTAGTTGGAAGCATCGGTATGGGTCATGAATTGATGGCAAGCGACGCAGTGGCGGCAGCACTATACAACACATGCACCTCAGCGTCATCTTGAGATTTGTCTCTATTTTTATAGGTGTACTTATATGAGGCCCTAATGTTCCAACCTGAAACAGTCCCAGTTGACAGGCGTGTACCAGTTCTCTCGCTCATGATAACGAATCACTACTGGCCAAGGCAACTCCTCACCGGCCGCGGCAGCTCTTGCCGGAGCCAACTCCTTATCCAGCACGCGGTCGGGGATGAAGTGGGTATTAAAGAACCGGAACACGTCGCCCCTGACCCCTCGGAAGTCTCCCAACCTCCAACCCAATTGGTCTAGGCAATATTGGCGGTGATAGAATTCCCCGCCGAGGCTCATCTTCCATGTTAACCCCGTACCATTCCATTTCCACGGGGTCGTAATAGTGCTTTTCGTGTTCGTAGCTTACTTTCCAGAAAATGTCCGTGGACACCTCACCGCGCTCATCACTGGGCTTCCTAAGCGCTTCCTCCCACGAGTCTTTCATATCAGGGATGATCCACAGGATCTTCAAGCAATCAACCGAGTCCTCGGCGATTTATCACAAGGCGGCGACGGCCGGTCCGACATAGCCAAACGTACTGCACCTTCGGCCTCATTGTGTGAGATGCATTTAGCCGCCCGTTCGTCGGCCGTCGTAGATGTAGGCAGTGGCAACGCTACAACCTCGATGCGGGCATCTTTAAAAGTCTCACAAAGAAATGCGATCTCGCGCGTCAGCTCGTAGATGCGCCGCGCAAAAAGCGCAGCGCGCTCAGCCGGCATCGCCTGTAGTATCGTAGATTCTCATGCCGAATTTGGAGCGGTATTTTTCTGACACCTGGGCGGGCGGGAATTGCTGTAGCAATCCTTGCTGTCAAAGTCGGCTTGCACTTTGTGTTGCGCACTATCAGCGGGGTAGCTGTGGGGCCGTGATGCTCACACATGCACGAGGGTTTGTGCTGTTTCCAGGAAAAAGAACCTCCACGCCCCGACCACATCCATGACGGCGTCGGACGGGCCGTAACAACCACCCATCGCGCTTTGCGGGAATCATGAACGGCAATTACTGCAATTCCCACGCGAGACGGACACAGGGACATGCAGCCACCGCCAGCGCCACGGGCCGCCATCCGGCCGCTCCTCGTGCTCGTCGGGCTCGTCAATCTTGCCTGGAGCCTGTACCAGCTCCCGGTTAGCCGCGTCGTCGAGAGCCGGCTGTGCCGCGAACATTATGCGGCTCACGACCCGTCGGTCCTTCATCCGGACGGGTCTGTCTCGGAGGAGCTGTGCAAGATTGACGACGTGCAGCGCCGGCTTGGGCGCATCCAGGGCGTCATAGAGGCGCTGTGGGTTGCTGGCGGTATGAGCATGATTGTCGCGGAAGTAGGAGGGTGACGAAGGTCATACTAAAAGCCTTGTGGCATAGACTTTGTCATGACAATCCCGCTCGTCTCACTGGCCGACCAGTATGGCTATCGTGCGGTGCTCCGCTTGAACCTCATCCCCCGTATCTTCCTGCTTGCCTGGACGTTTGCGGTGGGCTACTTTGATCGGCTGCCCATCAACGCCATCCTGGCGGCGCCTACACTCTCGTTTCTGGGCGGGGACTGTGTTTTCAACTCAATCGTCTACTCGCTCGTCTCGGAGCTGACTGATGACCACGTCCTTCGGTAGGTACCTCTCTAGCTCCTTTGATGCATTCGTCTAACAACACCATAGTGCCACATTCTTCGGCTACGTCAACGCCGTCTCGTCCATCTTCTCCCTCCAGCTCGGCCCTGCTATAGCCGCCGCATCCATGAGCTCGCTCCTGTGGCGGCCTCTCTGGATCGGAATCGTCCTCTTGCTGCTCGCCATCCCCCTCATATACACCCTCCCTTCGTCATCGTCAACCAACCCCAAGCTCCATCCTCCCTCAGCAGACGAAGGAGACGCCCTCATTCCCCGCCCTGCCCACAACCTAAAGTCCACAACCGCACGCCGCTTCCGCACTGTCCTCTCGCTCCTGGCCAACCCAACCCGCAACTTTCTGCTCTTGCTCTCGGTCTTCTTCCTCTCGTCCCTCGCTTCGTCCGACACCAAGCTGCTGCCGCTGTACATTTCGAAGCGTTACGGCTGGCGGTTCGCCTCGGTCGGCTATCTGCTATCGGTCAAGGCCCTCTTCAACTTTGTGTTCATGACCTTTGTCATGCCGTGGTTCCTTCGCTGGCGCCAGCGCAGACACCACACGCCCAGGAACACACCGTCTTCCTTCTGCACTTACAGTTCTGTTGCCGCTGCGGTGTCAACCGAGGAGGCAAGCTCACGCTCAAGATCACGGTCAGGGTCTCGGTTACGCTCAGAAGTGCTACACACACAAACCAAAAGCACTGCAGAAAACATCGCCAACGCACACATCTGCCTCGTCTTTTCCGTCCTCGGCGCCCTGGCCATCGCCGTATCGCCCGCCATCTGGGCGCTGGTGGCTGCCCTGCTGGTCTATGCGTTGGGCATCGCCTTGCCCATGTTCACCTACTCGCTGCTGAAGGCGGCCGGCACGGGCTTAGAACACCATCAACGCGAGGACGCCTCCGGGATGCAGCTCTTCTCGGCAGTGATGCTGGTGCGGACGGTCGGCACGCTGGTCGGGGCTGTCGTCATGCCCAGTCTTTGGGTGGCGGCGTTGGGCGCCGGCGGTTGGGCTCTAGGCCTGCCGTATACCATCAGTGCGGCTTGCTATGCGTTGGCAGCGCTGATGCTGAGACGGATCAAGGTCACAGTCTGAGTGGATCACTGTGCGAAGTTGGCGGGAAGGGTCTGGGGCTGACGGCGGGCATGTCCATCACACGCTTCGTGTGGCTGAGATCTGCATTAGGCGTCGCCACACGTTCCATCTCCACTGGCCGGTAGGGGCATTTTGAGGCGACGCGATTGCCGGCGTCTTCCGATAGTCATCTCCCGCATGCGCTAACGCAAGCCTGGTTGGGGCGCTGCAGGGCCCAAAACGATCGATCTGGGGAGCTGAAATTGATGGCTAAATCTACCACCAATGATTCGCCACACAAGAGGGCCTGTCCTTGTCTACAGCTCACGATGCTCAAGCTAGGCGGCCTAGAACCTGTTGGGTGCACCTCATCTCCACTATTTTCAGCTCGGGGAGACTGAGAGGACCTTGATCTGCAATAGGTACAAATATCCCGTGATGGCTCTCCCTCCTTGGGCCATCGCAGGCTTCTGAGGTCATCAATAAGCTTCGAATCGTCAGCCATGAAGACCAACCCGTCCCTCCTCCTCGCCGGCGCCGGCCTCGCCCTCGCGGCCCCCAGTCAGTTCGCTTCCATCTTGAAGCGGACTGGCTACGACCTCTGCGACGCCGACTGCAAGCTGAACGGCGTCCCCTTCCCCGACAAGCACACGCTGCAGCTGCCCCTGGACAACTACCGGTCCGAGCAATGCCCGGGCATCTTCGTCGGTGACGCCAGCGCCCCCACTGCGACCTCGAGGGTCTGCCTTGATTTTGTCGGCACCAATCTCTACTTCAACTTCTCTTCCTTCCCCGGCTACACGTACAAGAAGGCTTCCGTTACCTGGAAACAGAAGGGCAACGCCCTGACTCAGGACGCCTGGACCCTCCCGCCGCCGGATAAGAGCATTAGCTGCGGGCCCAACCCCTCGGGAGACGGCCTTTTCTGCAAGCTCCCCTTCAGCGACGTCCTCGGAGTGTCTTCCACTACCCCCGTCAAGGACCAGCTCACGGGCATGTGCCCCAACGGCGACCGCGAAGGCCTAATCCTCTACCTTCAGTTCTCGGGCGAAGTCCAGTCCACCACCGACGCCTCCGTCACTACCTTCTCCAACCAGGCCCCATCCAGCGACGCGACCAAGTCGTACTTTGAAACCCAGTACCGCTGCTCCACCTGCGTCAACACATCCACCTGCCCGCCGCCGGGCGAGGAGGAGCCCCCGACCACCACCTGCGAAGCCGGCACCGCCTTCGGCTACCGCGACGCGGCCAAGTCGGTCCCGCTCAACACCCAGTCCGGCCAGGGCTGCAACCGCTGGGGGTGGTACACGGCCCCGACGCTCGCCGAGCTGCAGTCGGGCATCTCGGGCGCGCTGATCGTCGGCGCGGGCGGCAACGACGTGTCCAAAGGGACCAACGTCGGGGTCTGGACGGCGACGGCCAATCCTGCCGGCGGCGTCACGGTCAACTACCTCTTGAACCCGCCGTACGTGCTTGACGAGGTCCACGTCGACCTCGCCTGCCTGCCCATCGACAAGTGCGCGCCGGGGTCCTACACCTATGGCAAGGACGGGCTGGCGGGTGCGCCTCAGCACACGGTTGGCCCGCTGCAGTATCCTTCCTGCCGGGGTGGGTCCAAGGCGGCGCTGATTGTGCATGCGGCCGTGGACTATATTGTGCAGGGGTCGGTTTGCCCCTCGATTAAGAAGGTGTAGGTTTATCCTCTTGCTGCGGGAGGGATGGGGCGGGAAGATTGCTAAGCTGGATAGGTAGCCGGTGCTCCGGTCATTGATTTCGGGTGTGGCCATATTTGGCCGAGTTTGATCCTGCGAGCAATTGAAGATGTGATGGGTTTCGTGCCGTTTAGAATTGAAGCGAGCTCCTCGCACACATACATTCCGGGTTGTCCAGACCGTCGCTCCTGTCTTTTATCCCCCCGTTCTTAACTTTTGTCTTTGACGGTCGTTGCCTAGCATTAATATATTGTATTAGCATAATGTTCAACTCAGGCCAAAGACTTAATTAAGTATTCCTTCGGTCTCAAGTCAGACCACATTACCAGCGAAGTGATGTCTTACAACTCTATAACTACCAAACTTCCCGATGTGGCAGACGTCTCAAAGTGCATGTACCCATGGAGCAGGGAATGCACTGCAAGCCTACACAGTACGGTGTTGTGACGCAACTATCGCCGAGTTGCCAGCTCTACTGTACGGCGCAAGGCGAGGTCAGTATTTTGCATGTTCCCGACCCAAAACAACGTTTGGTAGCCTAGACATGTGAAAGAGCTGCCCAGGATCCGAGACCATTGATTATCGAGGAGATATGTAAGGGGAAGCATTGTACATTCGGATGTTGTTCCATGATCAAAGGGGATCCGCCAGAAATATCCCGCCAGTGTTAACTTCTTGGAACAGCCCTTCTAAAATATGACACAGAGAGCATCCAGCAACGCTAGCGCCTTCCTGAAGTATACTACAAACATCTTGATCAACGCCACAGCACACTATTCCCCCGGTCTTGTGCTACCGCTTCCTCGTATCCTTGCCTTTCTTAGACTTGCTCCTCTTCTTATCTTTCGGTAGATCCAGCGGCGTGTCCTTCAGCAGCAGCCCCATGAGCTGCAGCATGTAATCATCAATCGTCTTCATGCGCCCTCCAAAGGCGTTGTACTCAACCTCCTCTCGCTGCTCCGCAACCTCATCCTCCGCCGACTCGGCGAACAACCCCAGCCCGGACCTTCCTACCGCCGAGACCGGCTCTGTCGTCCCCTCCCTCGGCGTGCCCTGCCGCACGCTCGACACGCCCGACGCACCGCCAGAGGGAGGCTGCTGCTCGAGGAAGTCGGCATCGTCCTGCTGAATTTCCTTCTCCGCCACCCGCGCGGCAGCCACATCCTCCTTGTCCTCGGCCTGTTCCAGTACGCGCCCCGCGCTGCGTGGGTTGCTGCTCTCGACGCCGCCCAGGACGCGATCCATGGCGGCATTGGCCGCCACATCGTCCTCGTTGGCGAGCACCTCGCCGTTGGTGCCAATGACGTCGCGCACTGAGAGCTTGTTGAAATAATCGGTGGTGAACTCACCCTCCTGGATGACGACGTCGTCGAGCATCTGCTTCTGACTAGCCTTGCGGAGAATGTTTGCCTCGATGGTATGCTCGCTGACGAGGCGGTAGATGTGCACGTCGCGCGTCTGCCCGATGCGGTGGCACCGGTCCTGGCACTGCTTGTCCATGGCCGGGTTCCAATCCTGGTCGTAGAAGATGACCGTGTCGGCGCCCGTGAGGTTGATGCCGAGGCCGCCCGATCGCGTCGACAGGATGAAGCAGAGGATGCGCGGGTCGTGGTTGAAGCGGTCTGTCAGGATCTGCCGCTGCTCGACCTTGGTCGCACCGTCGAGCCGGAGGTACTTGTGACCGTGGATGTTGAGAAACTGCTCGAGAATGTCGAGCACCTTGGTCATCTGCGTGAAGATTAAGGCGCGATGGCCGCCCGCCTGGAGTCGTCGGAGAAGCTTGTCGAGGGCCTGCAGCTTTCCGCAGTCGTACTGGAGGAGCCGCTTGTCGGGGAACTGGATCGTCAGCCGCATGCGCGCCTCGTGCCACGGATCCGGCGGCCGCTCCTTCGGCATGTACGGCGCGTACTTGACAGGTGCCGACAGCGTCAGGTCTGCCTCCTCGAACGCTTGGATTCCCTTGGCACCAAGTAACAACCTATTCATATCTCCGGCTACGACGGCCGGGGTGACGCAGGCAAACTTGCTGATAGTGGTCTCCATCGAGTCAGCGCGCTGTTGGAGTGTCGGGATGGCGTTATGCAACAGATAGGAATCTTCCTCGAACCAACTCATGATCTTCTGAGGAACCTTAGGCCGCTGTTTGTAGGGACGAAGGTGGGTATCAAGCGTCAGGAGCTCGACGAGCCGTTTACCATAGATTGGCCGCTGCTGGCGGCGGAGCGCGTTGAGGTAGACGCAGTGCTGCAGCTCCTCAAAGCGACCCCACCGCGCGGCACTTTCCAGGTACACCAGGTTGGACTTGACGGAAGCGGGATCCAATGTGTAGTATGCGTTGTTGGCGCGCGTTTTTTGCGCCTCCCTGAGGTCGAGGAGGATGCGGTGCGTGCTCAGCTGGGATATACGGTCGGCGTCTGTGCTGGACATACCCTCGTACTGCGTGGGGATCATATTGAGGAAGCTGAGGCTGACAACCTCCATGGGCTGGGCGGCCAAGAGCTTCTTTCGGACGAGCTGCTCGTCCATCTCAAAATCCGCGGCAACCGACCGTTCCATACGGAACGAGGTCATGATGGGCCGGTCAACGAAGAGGTCGGGATGGTTGCACACCTTGCGGAGCTGCATCAGGCAGTTGATGATAGACATGTAGTTGCCCGAGGTTAGGGTCGCGCGAGTATCCGCACGGGAGAGGAACCCATCGTACAGCTCTCGTTGGCGTTTGGAAAGCCGGCAGAACTCGACGTGCTCGTACTTAGCTGGCATCTGCTTCTCCACGTCTGCCTTCAGACGACGGAGCAGGTATGGCCGGAGAACCTTGTGCAGCTTGGAGATGATGGCGCGCGCTTCATCGTCGAGATGTTCCCGGCCGCTCTCGAGAATCTGCGATTCTGGCCTGGAGAACCAGTTGTGGAATTCCTTAAGGTCAACGAAGCCGCCTTCGCCGTTTTCGGGCGGGGCCAGGAAATACAGCAGCGACCATAACTCCGTAAGATTGTTCTGAAGGGGTGTGCCGGTGAGGAGCAGGCGAGAGTGTGTGTTAAAGCCCAGCAGGGTCTGCCATCGCTGTGACTTGAAGTTCTTGATGTTGTGCGCCTCGTCGAGGATCATGTAATGCCAGCGTCGCCGTCGGAAGACCTGTTGATCCTGCAGAACCATCTGGTATGAGGTGATGCACACGTTCCAAACGTCATCGTTGGTCCACCCTTGGCGTTTCCGCTTACGCTCCTCCTGGTTACCGTAGTATGTGAGGATCTTGAACCCCGGACACCACTTTTTGAACTCCATCTCCCAGTTCAGCATAACACTGGTCGGCACGATAACGAGGTGAGGGCCCCAAACTTCGTGGTGGCAGGCAAGGTGCGCCAACAGGGCGATAGTCTGGATTGTTTTGCCCAAACCCATTTCGTCGGCGAGGATGCCGTTCGTGTTGTTGGCATACAGCGCAGCGAGCCAGTCGAGTCCGAGGTGCTGATACTCACGGAGTGTGCCTCGCAGGAGGAACGGTATCTCCGTTCGTGGAGCCGCCGGCTGGGGCGACGTCGACCTGCTGTCAGCCTTGGGCGCATGAAGTAGGGAGGTCGAGGTGGGCGTCTCGACGTCGGTGGGTTTGGTGTCGTCGGATGCCCGCGGCGACTGGCTCAGGGATGGGCTCTGAACGGTTGTGATCGGCTCAGTCTCTGGGCTACGGTGGTGTATTGCTGGAATTAGAGTCGGCTCGCCCTCAGTCGGTTGTCCGGGCGACGGGGGATCGGTCATGGGAATATCCTCCACTGGCTCCTGTTCAGTATGCGAGGTTCCCTCGCTGCCGTCCACAAACGATGTCGATACACCATTGGCTGTGGTGTCAGCCGCGGGAGGAGACTGCCTGGGCGACCCTTGGCCTGACTGCGCCAGTGATGCAGGGGGTGGCGGTTTGCCTTTGATTCCTGTCACATCAGTGTGTTCCACAGGCTCGGCAGCTGCATGCTCGCCCGTCCCTTGTGGGCCATCTTCAGTGTTGTCCGCTGTAGCTCCAGGCTCCGAATTGGCGTCTGCGTCGGCCATGTCCACATCTCCTTGTGCCCCTATCTCTGTGGCAGCCTCGGCATTGAGTTTCTTCAGCTCAGACTTCCCAAAGAACAGCCCAAGAAGCCCAGAAGGCTCATCTCCAGATTCCTCTTCGCTGCCCTCCTCATCGTCCTCCTCTAATTCGTCTTCGGAGGACCCAAGGTCATCATCCATGTCAATCGACTCATCGCTCGTGTCGTCGTCAGCCGGGGCGGGAGTTGCATTGCCGTTCGCTGCCGTCTCAGAGCCCTTCTTGCCTGCGGAGTCAACATCCAGCGCAGGTAGATTAGCGTACTTCTCTCGCAACTGCTCCTGTGTAAGCCCTTCATCAGACATGGTTGACTCCTTATCTTCCTCGTCGTCCGTCGAGGACATGTTATCCTCGTCGTCGTCGTCGTCGTCGTCGTCGTCGTCCTCATCCTCTGCAGACATGTCCTCGGAACCCTCAGAGTCGCCATTCAGGGCATCGTCGTCCCTGGAAAGCATGTCCTCAACGTCCGACTCCTCATCGGTGAGCTCCTCGGTGTCGAAACGTGCTTGTCTTGCTTGAAGTTTTGCCTCGGAAAGGTTAACGGCCTTGTTAAGCGCCGCTTTTACCCGCCGCTGCTCTTCCGCCTCCCAGTCTGCCAACCGACGCCGGTTCACCTCTGCCTTGACGTTTTCCCAGGTGCCCGAGAGGGCCTTGTTAACTTGCCGCCATCTTGCCTTGCTCAGTTCAATCTCCTCAAGCTTGATCTCTTCCGCAGACTTCGGCTGCGGGTTTCGCCGTCTCCACTCAGCCTCGCAGGCAATCGCAAGTCGTTTGGCGGTGGCTCGGTGGCGCTGCTGCTCGAGAAGCATCAACTTCCTGAAGTTGGACATTGCCTTTGTGAGATGGTCAAGGTGCGCCCACTGCCTCGGAGGTTCCTCCTCGGCTTCGGGCTGGAAGACAGAGCACTTCTCCTCGGCGAGCAACCCCCCAGGCTCAACCTCCTTCTCGACCCGCAAGATAAGCTGAGCATCTTCTTTGATCGTCTCGTCTGTGAACCGCGGGCCGTCTTCGGACGACGCGAATAGGCCCCCTTCCTCAACTGGTATGTCTGCGGCGCGCTCAAGGAACAGTTCAAATGTTGGCCCGAGCTTCGGTCGCAGGTTGGCCTGCTCGCGATGCACAAGGGGTATCGATGTCAACGGCGGTCTGACCCGTAACTTGATCCGGGATGTGGTGCGCGTGCCGCCTGGGCTCTCGTCGATGTCATCATCAGCTCGAAGATTGCGCGTGGAGCGGCGCGTGCCAAGGGATTGCTTCAGAGGCGTGGCGACTCGTCTGGGTGACGGAGACCGGCGTTGACTGCGGGCGTTCAACTTCAAATCATGTGCTACGGGCTTTCGCGTGGGAGGCTTGCTGGCTGGTTGCTTGGGTGGCACCGTTTTGCTCGAGGATACCGCACGCTTGGCGGACGCACTGCCGGGGGTTGAGGCAGGGTGACCATTCTTAGAAGCAGCGCGATTCCTGGGCGGACTGGCCTGCTGGCTGTGCAATACCCGCCTGGTGATGCGCTTGTCGCCAGGCTGTAGCTCGAGGGGCACAGCGTTAATACGCCCCGACTTTCGTCGACCGTCCTCGGCGATGAAGGTCGTCGGCCCATCGGCTTCGGCCTTCTTCCATGGTGGCGATTCAGGTTTCGGCTTGCGGACCGTGTTGTTTGGCGTTGTGTCGCGCACTCGACGTCGTTTCGCAGGGGGGCCGTCGTCTAGACTCGTGGCATCACGCGGATTGCGGATGCCGTTGCTTTGTGGGGTCTCGACCGGCTGCTCCGCGGGCTTCTCGGAAACTGTTCCATGGCTGTCGTATCCGTTAATGTCCTGAGATGTATTTTCAAGCTCTTGTTTAACGGAATTAGTGGGCTCAGGATCCGCCGTTGATGGCGATTGCTCGTGGTGCGGACCATTGTCGCTGGAAGCTGCAGGCGGGACGTGTGTTGGGCTGGGCGACGCGGTCTCTGTCATAGTAACAACCGGACCTGCGAGACAGAGACGGCCGAAATCTCAGCGAATCTGGCATCTGGCGGGACGAAAATAAGGTCAGACGAATGCTGGCGTCTCAAGGTATCTCTTATCAAAGTTTGAGCATGACCACGACTCTGTGAGGCTGGCTGCGGCGCGATCTGTGAGGAAAATGCTTGTCGTCAGCAAATCTTTGCCAACCGCAAAAAACTCACCCCATCGCTAATCTGAAGGCGAATCCCGCGTCCCGGCAGAGCCAACCCTCGCCAAGACTTTGAACTGTTGCCTTAGGCAGATACTCAATCAAAGCAAGTGGGACCGAGCAGCCAATCATTCCGTGGCTGATTGGGCGACCAAACACCTCAAACCTCCAAGCTACCAGTTGCACCTCAATCGACATCAACATTCCTGCGCCCGACAGATTGGCATTGCGGCATCACCAACGCCAAGGCATGCTCTGTGTGTTTGGATATGCGACCTAGAGCTAACGCGGCAGCAGATGCTATCCCGTCGGATTGTGCGGGTGTCGCCTTTCCGAGCGGCTGCCCTCCCCGCAACCGCGCGACGACTCCCCTTGATCCAGCAACGAACATTCCTCCCCGAGTCCATGGTCGGCAGGAGCAAGATTGAAGAAAAATACCCCGACTCGGACTACCCGACGCTCACGCCTGAGGAGGACCCGGAGATGGTGCGTTGAATTGAGGGACAGCATAGCTAACCGGGGCTGACAATTTTGCGCAGAACGGCGGCTACATCAACCCTCCGCGCATCAAGCGCCAGTTCCGCGATCCCCATGCCGACTGGTGGGATAAGCAGGAGCGGAGAAACTTTGGCGAGCCGGTACACGAAGACCACGATATCCTGGGCATGTTCTCGCCGTGGGAGTACACCTGGATCACGCCAGGCAAGGGCCTGTTTCAGATTGGCTGCTTCATCGCCGTCTTCCTCAGCGTGTGCTACGGCGTAAAGTTGACGTACCCGGACAGGGTCAGCTACCCTCGCGAGTTTGAGGGCGGCCTGGAGAGAGAGCTGGGCGGAGCGGGCGGCGTCAGGGCAAGTCGAAGCCCCGGCCATTGTGGGAGCAAATTGCTAACCGTGCAGTTCAGGCGAGGATGGAGGGCGATGAGGACCCGTAAATTCTATTGTGGAAGACTCGGAGGCTGCGTGTATTTGAGTAGCAAAGCTAACATGTCAATCATGTCATTTTTGTCACCGTGTTTGACGGCACAGTGTCCCACAGCTTTGGACGCTCCTGTATGTGAATGATCTTGCCTGGGCTCCAAGTTTAGGGAACAAGGAACAGAAGAAAGCCAGGCAGCGGTCCTGCCTCTTGGTTGCTTCTAGCTTCCACAGCTGATATTTGTTATGCATACTAGGTTCAACTTCAAAACTGTTCTGCAAAGTAGGTTGCGCCCAGCAAGCGCAAACGAGGCTTTTCTAGCATTCAAGTCACCAAACTGGAAATTTGAATGAAAATGGTCAAAGTGAGTGGCGAGTCTCCCGCGTACCTCAACTTCCATCTGACCAGACAAACTCCCAGTTTTCACTACAGTCCTCGGCAGTACCAACGGAGCACACGGCGATCTCCACGCAGTTGCTAAAGATCGCCGCCAAGTAGGTTGTTAATCTGCTTGAACCGCGCTTACCGTCTACCACAACTTTCACACCTCTCTCCCGTCGACCGGGATCCATCCCAGTTTCTAGACCAAGGCTCCCACCGCAAATGACAGGCACCAACCGATCTTGGCCAATGTCTCTCGCGTTAGCAACTTCGATCAGCGTTCTATCGGAACCGAGATGAGCCAGCAACGCATGTGAAGGCGTTTGAGATCAGTCAAAAGGCAGGAGCGGGCCACCCTGTCCTGTTATCGACGTCAGGCTGCTCAACTGCCACCCAGTAACTCCCTCATTGCCCTGCATGCAATCCACCGAAGCGGAGGTCGCCTTACCTCTTCTAGCGTCTTTTGGAATCGTCGCCAACCTCGTCGCACCCAACGGTATTTTGGTTTTCCTTTCTTGATTGATGTTCCGTGTTGCCCTTCCTTTTGCTTACTCCCCTCTCCACTCTCTTGTGCAGCTCTCCATCTTCATTCAGCAATTCTTAGCATTGTCGTCCAGTTCAGCACCGCCATCTCCCATCAGCGCTATCCGAAAGGATGCGGTACGACGACTGGGACGTCATCCTCTTCCCCACCGGTCGCGACGCCAAGATACCCTTCAAGGAGTTCAAGGTTGCCTGCCATGTCGTGCCGGACCTAGAGCTGGCCCATATCCACGGCCCCGTTGGCATACCCGTCATGACATGCTTCGTGCCGAGCCTGCCCCCAGGTGCCGGGTTCCAGATCTCGCTCCACTGCTGGCGAAGGCCGGAACTCAGCCAATTCACGCGTACCTACAGCAAGCACACGGACCTTATCAAGTTTGAGACGCGCGTTCTGATCGATGGCCGACTGGTTGCGTGCGTTCATTGTGCTTGAACCGAGGCCGATGCGTACGCTGACGCGTCTTCTAGGTCCACCATTCTTGACCGCGACGTCAACGGGCCCCATTTGATCACCACCACCTGCGGTTTGTCCCTGACGTCCCCACCGCATTGTTCGGACGAGGCTGACCCGCCCCGGTAGAGTTCACCAAAACAGGCGAGCTCGATCGTCTCCGGTTCCCACACTTTCGCCGCGAACTTCTCTTCCAGAACCACTGGAGACCGGGCGATGAAATCGGCCGCATCAAGATCATCATTACTGAAGGGTTTCCGCGGGACTCTCTCTCGGCCCCGATCGAGCGAGTCAAGAACATCGTGGCCTTCTCCTTCCAGCATGCTCCGTTGGGTGGGTGTCTGCCCACCAATATGTCAAGTTCTTCGCTAACAGCCTGGACAGAGATTCTCGAGAACAATGGCATCGCGTGGCCAAACCAGTCCATGTGGCAATGCTCGCCCTTCAACTCGGTGATGCCCGTACCGACGTATCATCTAGAAGAAGGTCCGAGTTCACACACGCATTCCCCTGGCAAGAAGTCGCAGCCCCTGAGGAACATCAAGAACCAGAGCTTCCCGGCTCCAATCATGACCAACATGGCCTTCCAGCCCCAAGTAGACAGCGACTTGCTCGGCAACGCAGCTTCGCAGATAGGGTATTTTGATTCAAGCAGTTTCGGATCCGGCAGTGCGACGCCGTGCTCTGACCCTTTTATGGACGCGGCGTATCTTGATTGGGCAAACTCTCTGACGAACGACCAGCTGAGCGACTCATGGGACGGACAAACAATGTATCCTGCGAGCGCACGGAGCCAGCGGCAAAACACGTCCGACACTATCATGCCGGATTACATTCCGCCACACCCGTCGGATCCCATGCATGTATCAGGACCCAGCTTGGACGACGAGCCGATGACACTGAAGGTCCCAACGAACACACCCACTAGAGCGATCGCGGAGGAGAGCCAGGACAAGTACCCCAGCGTGCCCGAGCCAAAGGGTCTACCCCCTCACTTCACCTCGTCTCTCGCGCGGTCGCTCCTCAACCAGCCTTTTCCGCTTCCTGTCCATCACCACCACACGGGTGGCCCGGCGGCGGAGGTTAAGCCCACCAATCATAACCAGCATGCAATTTCTACTCAGAGCAACAACTTCTTGCACGCAACAGGTCATACCAACACCACCGTAGCCCACAAAGCCTCCCAGCCCAAGTTTAGTGACGGCGCTGGCGAAGTTCCCGGTCCCGTCCTAGCGTCTTCGGAGCCCGCTTGTGGCGAGTTTGGATCCATGATTGCGAGCCTTGGATGCAACAATAGCGACTCCTCGTTGGCAACACCCACCAGCTCCGGCCAGGAGGGGCTGAACGCTGGCAGCGGCCGGAACGGCGGAGGCAAGGGAGGCGGCAGCGGCTGCGGGAACACGGCCACAAAACGCCCGCGGAACTTTACACCGGCATCGGTCAGGGCCATCGACCAGGAGGATGAGCCGCGCCGGATGAGTCCATACGTGCGAGATGCTGGGTTTGGTGTAACTGATCTCCTTGGCGACGTCGGCGCTTGAGCATTCTTACGATGCTGCCTGGCATCCACCGTCCAAGGTATTCTGGACCTTTTCGTAAGGTATTGAACATGGTGTATGGGGTGAGTTGTTAGGGGCATGGCTAGGTCTTTTTGTCGAGCATCGTTCTTGGCTCTCACTTGCCATCCAGTCGGGCTTCTCGACGCATTGTGTAGCGCAACAAAAGTTTTCTTACCTTGTTGCGTTGACTGTCTCATACGAGGGCTCTATGCGCATGTAGTGTATAAAATGAGTCTAAGAGTAGCTGCTAATAAGGACTCAACATTGTACTTCGCGTACGCCGGTGTCGCTTGTTGAGTACAGCCACAGCAGACGGAGGAGGGTGGTGGGTCTGTCTCTCATGTCCTTCAAGGCATACCACCCGATCCAAATGCAATTTGGAAGCTCTTTTTGGTGATGGAGGTTGTTGTTGGTGTTCGGTGGATTCTTAGAGCAAGTTAGAATTCGGTCCTGGCCGGGCTTGGCCGGCCGTGTCCGGGATTCTACGGAAGCTCAAGTTTGACGGGGATGACGTATGTTTGACCCACTGGGCTAGCGAAGGTGGGTGGGGAGGGGTGTCTTTGTTCTTCTACGTTCACCTGAAAGAGTCTTCATCCACCACAATCCGGAGCGAGAGCAACGAAAGATGCAATCGCATTGTGTTGGCGGGCTGGATTTTCAGCGGCGGATACTGGGTGTAGATCTGGGATGGTAGACGCTTGCAGAAGATCGACGTCAAGGATTGGTAAAGGCGGCTTGGCAGGGCTGACGGATTGGGTTCGAAAATCATCTTCAAGTTGTAAACCGTAATTATCTCAGTGCTCAGAACAGTGTGTCGGGCCTGCCCAATCTAGCTAGTTCAATCCAGCACCCCACAACCTACAGTTTGAACCATGGATTTTATGGATGAATATGGCGGCCCTCGACTGGTCTAAGTGGAAGTTTGAAGCAAGAGGCAGTCAAGTAAAGTGGGGTTCCAAGAGTCTGTTACCATCCATCCTGAATCCCCAACCACTCAAATTACCCAGCGCTGGTACTTCTGACTTAACAAATCATAACTTAATATACAAAAATCCAGGTAAAACCTAGTTGTACATCTTGCAGCCCTGATTCCAATTGCTAATACTTAGTGTACCAACCCCTAGCTTTTTTGACTGCAGCCAGCCGACGTGGGACTGAATCAATCAGACGGTCGATGTCAGCCTGATCAATCGCCCACCAACACTCTTGGAGAACACGCGTAAACTCAGCTACATCCAGCTGGTTTTTCTTCAATTCCCATGTATCAGGGTATTGAGCTTTGACTTTCCGCTTCAACAGAACCCAAACATGCTCAATTGGGTTAAGACCCGGACTGTGGGCTGGCCAGTCTTCCAAGACCTCAATTGCATGGTTGAGGAGCCACTCTGTTGATGACTTGGACCTGTGAATCTTTGCATTGTCTTGCTGGAAATGCCTTGTCACATCATATACTGGCAAGAAACCTTTTCTCAGAGCCTCTTGGTGGCTCCAAGAACTGTAGCCACCCTTCTGGGGAGGTGTGTAGTCACGCTCCATGACGACGAGGTCAGTCCTTCCACCCTGCCAGATGCCATCCCATACCATGATAGATATGTTGGCCTTGACATGATTTTGGAGATTGACAAAGTCTGGCTTCCACTTCTGCGAAGGTAGCCGAAAGACCCATGCAGTTGGACTACTCGTGTTGTTTTGGCAAGAGGATTCGTCGCTGAACAAAGTCTAGCAATAATTATGTTAGAAAATACTTTAACGAGGAGAAACCATCAACCAACTTACACGAAGGAGATCTTCGATATTTTCCAACGCATAACATGCAAAGGCATACCGGTCCTTTGCCACCTCGATCGTAAGTGGTATTCGCTTCAATGCTCTCCATTTTCGGTAGTTGTGTTCGCGGAGAGCACGACGGACTGTCGAGCTTGACACCTTTCGGTCTAGGACCTTTAGGAGCTGTTGGCGTGTGAGCCGGGCGTTGCGCTTGGCCAACTGGACAATATACCGCTTATCCCGTCGAGTAAGAACTTGGGGCCGGCCGCTCCTTGGCTTGGAATCGAAGGATGTGGTAGCTGTAAAGTGTTGAACAGTCTTGGACACAGCGACATGCGACACGCCGAACGCGGCTGCCACGGTGCGTTGGCTAACCCCAGCTGCCACCGCACCGCAAATGGCTGCACGTGCAGCAGGGCTCAATTCCTCGTGTTTCTTGCGACCAGCCGTCAAGATGCGGCCCAAATCGGTCAAATTGAGTGCCATATGGGGAAGTTGTGGTGGTGTGAAAGTTCGAGGATGATAGTGGACGCGTCGAGGAGACGCGTAAAGTGGGTGGGGTGGTAACAGACTTTTGGAACCCCACTGTAACAACGACCACAATTTGCGCCGAGAGTGAGATGTTCACCAAAACAACGTCAAAATCGCGTATCGCAAGTTGCATTCGAATCGCTAGATCGCGCTTTTCCTAGACAATCTAGTTAGATAGCCGAAGATCACAGCTCTCCACCCTCGTTAGGCGCGTAGTCGCAAATCACAGCCCTGAAATACGGCCGCCGACTACCTTTCTCCTGCATATGGCATATTATTGACTAGCTGGCCTCCATCATCGTCTAGTCTACCGCTTACGATGTCTCTCGGCCGGTCCCTCCTTCAAGCCTAGTTCGATCCTCTCGCGTAGGCGGCTTAGCTAAGTCCACTTTCAACCACTGAAAGCTACAGCAAGTACCTACGCTTGATCTAACTACGGCAAGTGGGTCGCGGAGAATAGTATAGGCGAAGTCAACTGGAGCGGATTGAAAGTATAGTACGGAAGTTGGAGGGGGGTCGTCGATTGATTTACAGTCTGTTACTTAACTTTTTCGACCGCCTCGCTCCGATGTTTCTTTAATGCAATTCCATTAATACAACAAAAAAAGCACCATTAGATGCGTAAGTTTGAGGTTATCGCCCACGTATTTTTATCTTTCGAGTACGACGTGGTGGTGTTGAGCGATTTGCAAGTGTTTGAGGGCTCTTTTCTGGATTTGTATGGCAGACTGTTACTTGACTTAGCTGCGCACCTGACTTTCCTCTCAGACCTTTTTCAAAGGCGTCTTGAACAAAAGGTGGGCCGAGATATCAAAAGGATTAGCGCGACGGTAATGTATCGCAGGTTGTATGGCAATCCGTCCCGACAGTCCCACACACCAAAACGCCGAAGGGAAAAATGTCTGAGCACTGAGATAACCGTTTTCGTACCTCTCCCCTTTTGCTTATCGCCTTGTCGTTGTCCATCTCAACACGATTCCGGACCCGCCGAAGCCGAGACCACGCGTACTGTGTGAAGATGAAATGATTGCCGGGCGACGGCCGAGGATACTGGTGGCCGTGGCACTCGTGTGCCCTCGTCACGATCCACGATCGCGACACGCTCTCCGAGATACGTTGCGAGTACGTGTCGCCCGCCAAAGCGCTAACACATTCGGAGACAACAGGGCAACTAGACTCAGAAGCACACAAGCTGCCATGGGCCGACTCGTTCCGCGCCCACCTCAAGGCAGTGACGCGCCTCAAGGGCATCACCATGGCCGAAGCGAAGGCGGGATGCCATTGGCCCGGGGGCCTCTACGTCAACTTCCAGTTCGTTCTAGACACCGAGTGGGTTGCCACCGAGCGGTCCGACGAGGAACTTGCGGTGCGCCGCAAGCTGTGGCAAGAATATGTTGAGGGGCAAATGATTCCTTGGGAAAGGTGAAGGACAAGTTTGGTGGAAGAGGCGTGGTTGTTGTCGCCGGCAACAAAGACACGGTGATGCGCCTCAAGTGGTGCTCAGGAGGCTCGTCAAGCTGTAGTGGAACATTCCGGTCGAGTTCACTACTTTGACGACGAGATGTCCCCGGAGATGAAAAAATTCGCGGGCATGCACACACGATCTCGTTCAACAACCTCTCCGACCCTCACGCCAACATCATCCACGTCAAGAAGGACCGGTTCAACAACTTCCAGCTCAAGTCGGCGGCGCTCGTCAAACTAAGTTCGCCGAGCCGATGCTGCTCAACTCGGACAACATCCCCGTGCTGGACCCGGCGACGCTGTACGACTCGCGCATCTACCGGGACTACCACACCGTCTTCTGGCCCGACATCGCGCGCTGGTGGCCGCAGAACCCGGCGTGGACCATCACCAATACGCCGTGCCGCATGGACGAGAACGAGCAGGAGAGCGGGCAGCTGATGGTGGGCAAGCGGCGCTACTGGTATCACCTGCAGCTCGCCGCGTGGCTCAAAAACAAACAGGGCGAATACTACGACAAGTTCCTGCTGGGCGACAAGGACATGTTCTCGTTCGCGTGGCATGCGCTCAAGACGGACTTTGGCCTGCCCCGCAAGTGGCTTACGAGCGTCGGCACCCGCAACGACGGGTTTTACTGTGGTCACACGTTCGCGCAGCACCACCCAGACGACCGTCGCATCGCCTTCATGCACGGCGGGCTGACCAAGATCGCCGCACTCCGGTGATGCAGTGGAACAAGGAGAATGGCGGATACTACCGCAATTTCAATCGTGTCCCATCGGACGAAGACCCGTGCGTCAGTGTGCACGTCGACATCATCTCTGACCCGACTGATTACATGCCTAACCGCCCGGGAGGCCTCCCGGTGGCCATGTGTACGGAGATGAGAGATGTCAAGGCCGGGAACTTCAGCGAGCTGCTTCCGGATTTTGAAAGTGAATTTACCGAACTGGGAGGATACTATACGCTGTAGAAACTTAAGGACGCGAAGGACAAGGCGGGGAAGGCCAAGACCGGTGCAGCGGCATGGAGCTGTACAACTCAAGCCTGGTTGTTTGTTAGCCTGGAACTTAGGTATTTACACCTCATCTTCTCTCATTTTCACCTTCTTGTAACTATTCTTTCTTCTCCACTTCCTCTTCGTGTTCCTCTTCGTCTCTGCCTTTCTCTTCCCTCTTCTCTAACTCTTGTCTTTTACCTTCTTTCGTTTCCTCTGTATCTTTCTTTTCTCGTTTCCTTACTTCCTTTCCATCTTTCTATGTCTAGTGCTTACCATATAATCCACGCTAACGAACAAACCAGGACCGGATTGGATTCCCGGTGGTCATAATGTTGTTCGCAATTGCTGGGAAAGTTGTTCCTATAATGTCCAATTCGTCAGCTCAAGGGGCCCGTCAAGGTACGAGCTACTCGCCCTCCTGTTTCTTGCCGTGCAGCAGGACGTTACATCGAGAGGGAGTTCATGTGGGATACACGACGCGATTGGACGCCGGAGATAACGGAGCCAGCTCCGACTTCACACCGTCACCCGAGCTTGTCCCCGTTCAGGTGGGGCCGGATACCAGCTCCTCGGGTCGGGGATCGACAACCGACGCCCCGGGCACGACATTGGCGTAGCAAAGTCTGATAGACGAGTAACTTACGGAATACGGATAGATTCGGACTGCCAGCAAGAAAATCGTGACTGGAGATAAGCGGCTGCAATCCGGACGCAGCGACAGGTCTAGCTGCCAAGCCACCATGGAAGGAGCCGGAGCGCTGCGCGGAGCATTCTCAAACGGGCAGATTATTGGGGCCGTGTCCGAGAACCGAGAAAACGACCCGCGTTGCGGATGCCCGCCAAGACCCGAATTCTTTTTTTTTAGTTATCCGACGTTGAACGGATTGAAGACGACAATTTCATGGGAACTAGCTTTTCGTTGAGAGAAGTGTTTTACTTTGCTTTCCGGCTGGCCTGGGCCGGTCCTCAGCGTTTCAGTCCAAGAAGGTTCATGGCACTCCTCGAGCGTACGGCTCATTAGCCGTTCTCAATATGGCGACACAAAACTCCATCCATATCTGGATATGTACATGTACTTGTACCGAACGTCAATCAGCGCTCGGCTGAACACTCCTTTGGGAAGCTGATGACTCAGTGACTCGGCACGAAATTGGGCCGCCGGCGCATTACCGTGTCGTCCCTGGGCCCCAACGGCCAAGCTAGGGATGCCGAGCGCCCACGGAAGCAATTTCACTGGACGCCACAGGCAAGGAGTCTTCACGACTGCGGACGTTGGAACGCCCCGACGCCCATGCCAGATTTGACAGCCGATGTTAAAGAACCCCGAGTTCTCTAAACTATCCCACCCACGTCATGGGGGACTGCAATCCTTGATCTTCGCTTATATCCTTCTTAATACCTTGTGCCCCAGGCCATTGCCAGTGCCTCAGTCTGCATTCTTCATGTGCAGCCTGGCCGAGTAACAATCTTTGGATCAGACCAATTCGCAACCGCCCATCCACCAACGGTACACGACTCCTTTAACAAAACATCCACACAACAGCTGGACCCATGCAGAAGCCAGGCCCATCCGCCTCTGACTTGGAGGTGCCTACTCTGGCTCCCAGCAGGGCTAGCGTCACAGACGACGGCAAGGGCTCGACCGCCGCTGAACAGACCGACGTCGAGATGGTCTCCTCCAACCCGGCCGAGACTGCATCCCGGACGGACCATGCCGACGAGAAGCACGACGCCCTCGCCCGGCAGGCCACCGCCATATCCAATACGGGCAAGCCGCTGGGGCAAACGCCAACGCGCGAGGACGGCACCGAGTACCCCACGGGCATGAAGCTCAGTCTTATTGTGCTGGCCTTGTGTCTGAGTGTCTTCGTCATGGCGCTGGGTAAGTCACCTCTCAACTTCCGGTGTTCTTTGACACCGTGACCAGCTGACCGCCATCCAGACAACTCCATCATCGCCACAGCTATACCGAAGATAACAGACGATTTCAAGTCTCTGGCTGACGTAGGCTGGTACGCCTCCTGTATGGCCCCACCCAACCCCCACCCCTTCCGCCTATCATTCCCACTAATTCATCCCAGCGTACCTCCTCACCACGGCCGCCCTCCAGCTCCTCTTCGGTCGCTTCTACACGTTCTTCTCCATCAAATACGTCTTCCTCATTGCCATCTTCCTCTTCGAGGTCGGCTCGCTCATCTGTGGCGTCGCCCAGAACAGCGTCACCCTCATCGTGGGCCGCGCCGTCGCCGGCGTCGGCGCGGCCGGCATCTTCTCGGGCGCCCTGACCATTCTGGCCTACTCGGTCCCGCTCGCCAAGCGCCCCATCTACACGGGCGCCATCGGCAGCATGTACGGCCTCGCGAGCATCTCGGGCCCGCTCATGGGGGGGGCGTTCACGGACCGTGTCACCTGGCGCTGGTGTTTCTTTATCAACTTGCCTGTTGGCGCAGTGACCATGGTCGTCATTGCCGTGTTCTTTCCTGATCCCAAGAGGCAGACGGAGGTGCAGGGTGCAGGGGAGGCGCTGTGGGCAAGGGTCAAGCGGTTTGATCCGTTTGGTACCGTTGTCTTCATGCCGGGTATTATCAGCCTGTTGCTAGCGCTGCAGTGGGGCGGGACGACCTACGCGTGGAACAGCTGGCGGGTGATTTTGCTGTTTTGCTTCTTTGGGGTGCTGATCCTGGCGTTTGTCTACTTCCAGATTCGACAGGGGGATCTGGCCACAGTGCCGCCACGGATTGTTATGAAGCGGAGCGTGTGGTCGGCCGGGTTCTTCGTCATGTGCCTTGGCGGCGCGTTCCTTGGGGAGGTGTATTACCTACCCATCTGGTTCCAGGCGGTCAAGGACGCGAGTGCCGTGGGGTCTGGCATCATGAACTTGCCAATGCTGGTTTCGATGGTGCTGTGCTCGGTCGTGGCGGGCGCGGTGGTTACCATGTGGGGGTACTACACGCCCTTCATGATTGCCGGCGGCGCCGTATCGGCCATCGGCTACGGCCTGACCCTCCTGTTCGAGCCCGACACCAACACGGGCACCTGGATCGGGTACCAGATCATCATCGGCGCGGGCGTCGGCATCGGGTTCCAACAGCCGCTCATGGCGGTGCAGACGGTGCTCGACATAAAGGACGTGCCCACGGGAATGAGCCTCATCATCTTCCTGCAGACGCTCGGCGGCGCCCTCTTTGTGGCCGTCTCGCAGAACGTCTTCACCAACAAGCTGGTCGAGTTGGTCGGCCAGTACGTGCCGCAGATCCCCGAGCCGGCTTTCATCCTGGCCATCGGCGCCACCAGCGTCAAGGATCTGGATCTCGAGCCGGCCGTAGTGACGGTCATCAAGCTCGCGTATAACGATGCGCTGGTGCAGACCTTTATCGTCTTCACGGCGCTGTCGGCCATCAGCATCTTGGGAGCGTCGGTGGTGGAGTGGAAGAGCGTTAAGGGAAAGCCTGTTGAGGTTGGAATGGCTTAGCCGGCGCGTGCGGATGATTAATTGATTGTTTTTGATACCCTTTCGAAATTTGTACACCATTATTGTCATTGCCGCTGGAATATTCGGATAGACGGCGTTTGGAGACTGGCTCAAGGGTGTCAGAATGTAGAGGCATACCCAAAGGGAGGTTGGCGGTGTATTTGGGAGACGGCTATCGGTAGTGATTAGGAACCATCTCAGCTTCTAATGCCTTTCAAGCGATAGATCGGCTCTGGGTTGTTTATTAGCGCAGAATTCAGGTATTTACACTGCTTCATCTTCTTTCGCTTTTATGCTCTTGGTATACTTTCTTTTTCTCTTCCTCTACAGCTTTCTCTTGGTTTCATCTTCATCTTTATCTTCCTCTTCCCTGTTCTACAATTCATATTTATCTTGTAGAAGAGAATTGTCAACCTACCCGCAACCCGCTCGTTTAGGAATGGATCAAGTTCGAAGCGGCTCCTGATTCAGCATCAACGCCGGTTCGGCGGACGTCACCGGTGACACACCGAAGCTCAACCAAGATGCTGCGGAGAACCAAGGCTGGACAGGCAATGCACATGACGTTACCAGCCTTCAATGCAATTCAGGTCACTTAGTATGGCTAGTCCTCCTCCAGCTCCTCCCCCAGCTGCCACCTTAGGTTCCCTTCCACGTCCCACCTCCGGAACCACGCATCTCTCATGTTATGGACCATAACGACAACCCCTTCTCGTTCAAAATCTTGCTTCATAAAGCAAGATATTCCAGTTTGAGCTGTACTCCTCGAGACGTAGCTACTTGAGCGATCTCAACTCCGCTGACTCGTTCCATTGCTCAAGCGCTTCGAATGATGTCTCGCAAGGTGGGTCAAATAAGGTGAAGGAAGCACCCGTCAAGTTGGAGGCGAAGTGCAGGAGCAGAGAGATGAGCGGCGCAGACCGCTCTCCAATGAATGACCAGTCCAATTTCGTATTCTGTGGTATGCCTACCGACACTAGTGCATACCAGAGGAGGCTCCCAATCTCCCCGTAGGAGGTAGTCCTCACCCGTAGCAGCGATTTACCTGAGTAATCGACGGGTCGTGTTCCAACGCTGGGGTCCGCGTGGGGCTCGTTGAAGACGACTTCCCGCACCCTCGGCCGCAGGTCAGGCCGCTCCACAAGCGTGCGAACGAACAAGAAGAGGTCCGATTTCTTGTCGGCATACATAGTGCACCCACCTACGTGGCTTGCGTAGGTGGTTGAGGTAGCTTGGGCGTTTGACCTGGATTCAAGATCGTATGAAAAGGGTGCCATAGAATTCATTCACTTTCACTTTCTTACATCCACTCTTTATTTTCCACTTTCTCTTACCTGGAGGTACTCTATATCTTCATCTTCGTCTCCCTGTTTCCTTCTTCGTCCTTGTTTTCTCCATCCTTTCTATATCATCTTCCCTTGTCACTTCCTTAGTTTCCGTCACTTCCCATATTCTGTTCATGTCTGGTACCCGCCAAGCCACGCTAACGAACAAACCAGGGCCTGGATTGTACATGAGAAATGTGACCGCGACAGTGTGCTGGAAGTCGCCGGCCTAATTTGCAATACCTTCGTTTCCTGCAATCTCCAACCTTCTGGGGCAGTTGTAATCCTGCACTCTTGCTTTGTAGGCCTTCGCACACCGATTTCAGAGCATACCTTTTTGCCGTCCGCACTTAGACTTGTACCCCATCTTCCATCTTTTTTTCAGCGAATTGGAAACCAGTGGACGGTTACTTCAGTTTCCTTACCTTGATTCGCAATCAGACAACCGATCTTCCGCAACCTCATTACCGGCATCTTCACTCCAAGTAACACCAGTTCGTCAACCGTCTCGAACAACCCGGGGCTCAGAAGGAGAACGCCAAATCTCCGGCAGGACGTGGCTGTCAATGTTCTGCGTAAACGACGAGAAATGACACTGATTGGTTAACGTTGGTACGCGTTCCTCGTGATCGCGAATGCATGCACTTCTCAAGGAATATGATCTAACTTAGATTGCTCGTCAGATAACCGTGGTCAAGAATAGAGTACCTTACTGACCTACTGACGAATCCCAACCAGTTCACTGCACTGTCCGCCTCCAACCCGGGTCAGAAGGGCTTACCCCTTAGAACAAGAACTTATTATCGCAGCTACTATCGGAGACCATCTGCGCCGAGGTGACTGGTCGCCGCTCTGGGACGAACTTACCTCGACGTGCCCTGGACTCGATGACACGAATCATCGGATCTGGAGGATCATGTCTCTCGTTCCCCATTGTTACACTTTGCTCGGAACGTCGAGAGAGCATTACTTCCCGCCTTCGTGCTTAGCCAGTCCCGCTACGAATCCTCCAGAGTACTCCAACAGTGGAACGAAATCAACGCATCGCTGCAGCTGAAGTCGCTCAAGCAGGTGATTTTCAAACCGTGGTTTGCCGGAGATGGGTTGCTGCTCGATGACGCATTACAGATTCATCCGTTGATTTCAAACGTCGAGATCCTCCACTGCAACGGTTATACTAGGCTGAATCCCGGCAACCTGCTTCACCGCCTTGAATGTCGCCGATCTTGAACGAGCCACTTCAAGTTCAATTCCGGAATCTCACTGATTTGGTGGTCAAAGGCTGGGATATTAACGTCAGGAGATGGGAGAGAGCCGAGGTCAGAACGCGAAGGGACTTTTATTCTGTCCTACAGGGAATCAGTCCCAAAGCTGCACGGCTAACGGGAAAGATCCTGGACTGGCTGATGGACTCGGGGAAACTGCTGATGTACAGTCTGGCCAGGAGGCTGGAGCTGGAGCTCACGGTCTGATATCCCTCTCCTTCGAAGGCCAAGAGGCCTTCTCACTTTGTATTTGCAGGATCACACACTGATCGTTTCCTTTATTTTCGATATGGGTTTTTCACCCGGCCCACGAGGGCGCGGTTTTCCTGTATAGTAAGTTGTTGAAGCTCCGGCACGCCCCAGGGCACAGCGGTGTAGGAATAATTATATAATATTAACATCAGGAGCGTGGGTCGCCTGCTTGACGCGATAGGGCCGAGGCTCTCCAAGGTCACAATCTGGCACTATGAGCTCGAACTTCCGGATGGCATTCCTCTAGAAGAGACCCTGCCGGCACTGCAGCCATGGAAACAGACCCTCAGAGAACTGTCTTACCGAGTCAACAGTTCGGAGCCGGCCGCGCATCAACCAATTCCCGGCTCCCTCGAGCAGTTCACAGCACTCGAAGTCCAAGACGTCTACACCGTATGCTTCGAGGATTTAACGGCGACTACCCAATCAGGCGCGAGAAGTACAGATTCTCCTCGCTTCTCCCATCGTCTTTACGAAAACATAAGCTTCCGGGGTTTGCTCCCGCCACTTTCTACCAACTGAGCATGAGCAGCGTCTTGCATGGCATCCGAAGCGGGCGATTCCACGGCTTGCCAGCATCGGGATTGCCCTCCCGCGTATGGTTACGACGCCCGTTGATGCGCTGAGGATAAGTTCGGGTGTGCAGGGGGTGAGATCGTTGTGCATGAGACAACGGATGAAGACTGGGGAATATGGGACGAGCAGGGCTTTGGGGAAATGTCTCCGCTGGCATTGGAGATTGTTCTGTTACCTCAGTGAGCCTCACTCGAGGAATTGAGATTTTGACTCTGATGTAACTACAAATAGCACAACCCTGGTTTGCTTGTTGGTATAGTGCATGGCAGGCCCTTGCGAGAAAAACTCAAAAGCGGTATTGTGAGTAAGGTGATAAGAAAGTCGGAAAATAGGAAGATAGAAAGCAGGATGCTAAGGAAAAGAAAGGAGAAAAGGAAGAAAGGAAGAAAAGGAAGAAAAGGAGAGAAGTGGTATAACAGGAGAAAAAAGAAATTAGGAATTCTAACCACAGTAGTTAACTTGGTCATTGCTTTGATATGTTTTTCAGGCTGTAATGTCACAATACAGTAAGTGATACGTGAACTAAAGGCTGATTTTGTGCGATCCGCCGTAATTAGGTATTGCAGCGTTCCGGCTCTGCTGGCTTGCTGTTAAACTTTCGGAACTGACGATTTTCGTGTTCTGGGACTTCGTTCTGTCTCACCAAAACTTTAACACCACACCTACCGACCATTTGCGACTCTACAGGGAATGACCAAAGCCCAGAGCGGTCCAGCGACGGCATTGTTGATTGGATCCGTGGCGCTTTGGAGCCTATCCGCTTGACCGATTGCCAATTCGAGTTTTCATGATCAGCGATTTCTCAGTCACGACTTCCCGTCTCAGTCTGTCATTGGAGTCAATTCTCGGAACTCCTTTACTTGAACAGACTTCACCTATTCAAACGCGACCTAGAAAAGCACTCGAAAGCGGGGTTTCCATCCGTCTGACAACCTCCAACGACTGGGGGCACATGGAGCATCTCGCGGAGGCCCCAATCAGCCCAAACCAACATCGTGGGCCAGTATCAGCGTCGCCGCGGCCCAGACTGACGACCCTTGCTCTTGAGCTTATCGCCGAGATCTGCAGCCACCTTTGCTCGCATTGCCGGTCCAAGAAAGAGGCCATGCCCTATATCGACTGTCGACTCGCACGGCGTTGAAGGGGCAAAGGGCCTTGGCGAGCCTGAGCCGAACATGTCGATTCCTTCGATCCGTCGTGTAGCCAATTTTCTTCGTGGAGCGTTGAAAGGCATGATCCCCAGTGGTTCTGAAGTGAACGGGCGGATGGAGATGCGAACAAACTCCTTCATGTAACACCGTGCCGATCCTTACCCTCCAAACATTGCCGGGAAAGAGTTTGTCGAACCTGTGTGTGTTGGGCCATTGTACGCGAAAGCAAGGCATGGAATATGTAGGGCGAGCATCCTCCCAAGCAAACTAATGGTATATTGAGGCTGATGAGTACACAACCAAACCGAGATGACCTCCCCTTGTATCCTGAACGCCAGCCATGTCTAAGTTTCAATGTGCATGCAGATGCGCCGTTCCCAATGATCATCCTGAACCCCAAGGCCATATCTAAGAATATATGGGCAGAGTGATAGGTCTGCTCAACTGATTGTCCTCCCGGACCCCCACCTCTCATGACTCGAATGCAACACACCAATGACGACACCTTGTATCTCTCCCCAACCTGATCCCCGGCTTCCAAACGGGCAAAGAAGCCCCCACCGCGATGAACATGACCTTTTGTTCGCGTCGCTGCCTTATTTCGTACCGTTCAGGAGGGTGACCGTCTTGAAAGGCTCAACCGGATCCTGCTTGATCACCTGGTCCAAGCAGCCCGCGCTTGCAGCGACGAAGCCGAGGTAGGGTCTCTGCTCAAGGTCAGCTTGAATTGATCGTTCAGCAAGCTGGGGCACTCACGCTCGGGTTGACGACTTGCGACTGGTACTCGGCGTGGAATTGTGTACCTGTTGATGTCAGCATCCTCGACAAACCATGACCTGCTCGGCATTACGTACCAACAAAAAACGGATGATCCTTGAGCTCAAAGATTTCCATCCGCTCGCCTGTCTCGTCTTTGCCCACAAAGTGCAGGCCCGTCTTCTCGAGCTTCTCGACGAGCTCCGGGTTGATCTCGTACCGGTGGCGGTGCCTCTCCTCAATGACCTCGACGTCGCCATATAGTGATCGTGCCTTGGACCACTCCGAGTTCTGCTGGAAAATGGTCTTGCGCAGACCCAGGCGCATGGTGCCGCCCATGTTCTTGCGGTCGATCTCGGGCATGAAGATGACCACGCGATCCTTGGCCTGGGCGTTGAACTCCTCCGAAGTCGCCTCCGGCATGCCGCACAGATCCCGCGCAAACTGGATCGCGGCAACTTGGAAGCCGAGGCAGACGCCGAGGAAGGGTATATCGTTCTCCCTGGCCCACTTGGAAACCCGCATCATTCCCTCTGTCCCGCGGTGACCGAAACCGCCCGGCACAATGATACCAGACGCTGTGGACACATCGTGCCAGGCCTTGTGATATTTGGCTTGAGCTGCCCCGCCCCCGTTTGTCGGCTCCAAATCCTCCGAGTCAATCCACATGAGGTTGAGCTTCTTGCGAATGCGCATGGCCGAGTGCTCAAGCGCCTTGACCACGGAGAGGTAGGCGTCCTGGCATGTGACGTACTTGCCGACGAGAGCGATCTTGACCTCCTCCTGGTATGTTGGGGTGACGACCGACTTCCACAGATCCCAGAGCGATGTGCCTTGGGCAGCCATGGCGGGGGAGATGGTCAGCTTATCCAGGGCCAGCTTCGATCGGAGCTGCGGGATGAGCTTTTGCTCGCTCAGGAGGAGAGGAACTTGGTAGATGGTCGGCATGTCCCTGACGACAAGAACCTGGTCCGCCTCGATTTGGCAGTGGAGGGCGAGCTTCGCAACAGTCGACTCGGCGAGGGGTGTTTCGCAGCGGCAGGCAACAATGTCCGGGATCAGGCCGTAACTGCGGATCGACTTGACGGCGTGCTGGGTGGGCTTTGTCTTTTGCTCGCCGTGGACCGTGGGAACATAGGAGACGTGGATGTTCATGAAGTTGCCAGCACCGGCCTCGTGGCGGACTGTTATGGTCAGCCGGATCACACCTGAAGAATGGAGATCTGGACATACGCTGTGTGAGGGCCTCGATGAACGGCATCTGTCTTGTGTCAGCACCGCAAGCAGAGCATCAACTCAATGCACGTACGCTCTCAATGTCACCAATGGTGCCGCTGTTTGAAAACAAAGTCAGCGCAAGATAGGGTCCGCAGATCAAGATCAAACCTACCCAAGCTCAATGATGCAGACATCGGGCTCCTCGCCCGTCCCATCCACCGGAATCTTGGACACTCGCTTGATCCAGTCCTTGATGGAATCGGTGACATGTGGCACAATCTGGACTGTCTTGCCGAGGTAGTCTCCGCGACGCTCCTTTTCTATAACGTTGAGGTAGACCTTGCCGGTGGTGATGTTGTGCTCGCTGGTGAGGCGCACCGAGAGATACCTCTCGTAGTTTCCGAGATCGAGATCTACCTCGCCTCCTACAAAAAGTCAGATGTCTGCAAAGTGTGCCGATGTCGCCGTTCACGCACCGGAGCACAGAACAAAGCACTCGCCGTGCTCAGCGGGGGCCATTAGCCCCGCATCGACCGACACATAGGGGTCAATCTTGATGCAGCTGACGCGGAGGCCGAGGGTTTTCAGGAGCTGTATCCAATCCAGTTAGACCATGTTCAAGTACGTATGCGCTCGATCCGAAAATACGGACTAGGCCGGTCGATGAGGCAATGATGCCCTTTCCAACCCCTGCCACACGTTAGCGATGTCACCGTCGCACAACGGCGCGAAAACGATTTCAGTCAGGAGTACCTGAAATGACACCGCCGGTAACGAGAACGTAACGCATCTTATTAATCTGTCGAGTCGCGATGGCGGGCACAGAGAATCGGTTCGACAATGATAATGGCTGGCGGTGTGAAACGGGAAAATTTTGACACGCGACGCGAAGGCAGGAAAAGTTGGTGCGGGGCAAGAGGGGTCGCATGCCTTGGGACCCCTGGACGTCTTTTCTCTCGCCTTGCTGTCAGCTGCTCCACGTTCTGTTTCAGCGCTCGTGCACATCCATCTGCAGTTTGCCAACGATCACCAAGGGATCCGCGACGCGAATCGTATGCACTGCTCAGGTATAACCAAATAATATGCTAAGGGGAGCTCGGATTATCCGAATAACAAGCTGGAACTTGCAAAGCTTTATAAGTCAGTGTAGAGAAGGCGTCGCGTCCTGTCTCGGCTAGGCATCGTCGGATGAGGAGACGGTTTCCCCTAGGGATAGGATATGAGAAATTTCATATTGCGATTATTTTCATCTAGATACTGAGATAGTTTCATTGAAGGGCCTTTTGAAAAGGCTTAGTGAATTGGAATCGTAAGTCTCATGGTTAATTATAATGCAATCTACCTAGGCTTAGAGACTCAGTTGATTAACATATATGATAAGCGAGCGACGCATTAGCAAGAGCTGCATTTACGGATTACATTTAGCTGCAGCACTAACGTATTATTTCCCGGCTTAATCCCGTTGATTAGTGCTGCAGCTAAAATGTCTGTAGTTATAGCTCTTATAAAGTGTGCCGCTCGCTTATCCACTTGCTTATTATATACGTTAGTTAGTAGGAGCATAGTAAGTGAGAAAATATATCTATAGAGAGCTTTAAATCCAGCTTTTTACCGCTTACCGAGAGTATAGCGGAAATATCTGAAACTTGACATTTCAAGGCCCTTATTCACATTTTCCGTAATCCGAGGTTTTTCCGAATCTCCATGCTCTCGGTGGGTGGCCTGTGCGCCCACTTATTCTTCACGCGTCGCAGACGCGTATCCTGTATCCTCTCCTCTTCCTTCCTTAGCTTTCGATTAGCAGAATTGAGTCGGCATTCGCAGTGCCCAGTGCCTCGCCTTGATGCCACTTGTGTCCCACAGCCGGCTAGAACTGCGTAAGAGTTTGCAAGGATGTTGTTTTGCTCCTTATACAGCTTTCTTTGGCGTATATGCGGTTTCAGGTCCATCGAGCCGTCACCATGGAAGAACCGCATGAAGTCGATCCCAGCGGAGACGTTAGTATCATTCACCGTGCGGTTATAGAAAGCCCTGCGATTGCGACAGAAGCCCCTGCCAACGGAAGTGGCCCCGCCGTCGAGGAGGGCCTCACCATCGAGGAAGGCTCCGATGAGCATGAGATTGATCAAAAAGTCAAGCCCTGCCGTGATTAAAGGAGGACAAGTGGCCAGCTCTCGAAGAACAAATGTACTATACAACACCAAATGAAAGGAGAGTTGAGGGGCGTTCCCGCCAGGCGTTTTGTAACCGGCAGCGTTGTATGCCACCTCGGAATCCGACCCTGTGTGACATACGGTTTTGTATAAGCTGCTGGAGTCTCGGATTCTGAGGCCAGTGTGACCTCTCTGCTGCTGCCCGGAGTCCATGGCAAAGCGCTGAGATAATATGGAGTTTACGCTCAAGGGCTCTGGCAGAGCAGATAACTGCAGCCAAACATAACATTCGTCGGGCAACTCCTTGAAACAGCGTCGCTTTTCTGGCCAGTTAGTTGTCATTTGTCTTCTTCTGGTCTTCGATGCGAGTGAAGAAACTTCTTGCGTTGGTTCATCGTTATCCTTGATAGGTTCGTGAAGGGGCCTTGGTATGCCAGTTCCCTTGCGGCAGCGTGATATGAGAGCTGAGGCAACTTCACGTCGACAGCGGTAGCGGTATTGTGAGACCATGTTCGGGTTATCGCATCGTCGACGAAATCCATTTTCCGCTTGGGCGAGTGGGGAGGAAAGCGGGAGAGAGGACAGAGAGTGGGGAGGAAGGCGAGGAGAAAGACGAGAACGGATGACAAGCGAGGCGAACCAGGTTGACGAGCCGATCGACGATCTGGTTGGCGAGAAGAACGAGCGGTTGAGTGGCTGGGCCTACTTAGGTTTGATCGGCATTGCATAACTAGTCTGGTGCACAACCATGCAGAGCCCACAAACCCGGGTGCTGCAATCGAGGTCCGGAACAGGCACGACCACTTATCAACGCGCTCTATCTGGAGCAGCCCCCTGGTGCTTAAGCCTCGAAGTGGTATTCAAACCGGCAGGTTCATAATCTGGTTACTTCGCAGGGAACCTTTGGGAAAGGTAAGTTCAAAGAGGGGGCTACCAATGGCTGGTTCGACATGCAGGTCTTGGATGCCCTGGCTGCACACATGGAGCCGGATATGGACATGTATTCCTGCTCCATGGCAATCGATCTGATGGAGGCGTGTTACAAGGTCAGACATCGAGCACCTTTCCATTTCAGTTTCGTAACTCCTACTAACTAAAAGATAGGTCGCACTGAAGACGCCTGTCGACGATGTTAGTAACCTTGCCATTGAGAGGTGCTTGCTTCAGAAACCCCCCTCCATTCTTTCCCCGGAGATCGTATGCGACCTCACGGATGAGGAGGTACAGCGCATCGCGGCGGAAAGCAGCAAATTCGCGGCTTGAGAGGGCGCTGGCGGCTGAGAAACTAGGTGTGTTAGAGAGCGGCATGGCCGAGTTGAAACGGCTCCAGATGCATAGTGCTCCAGTAGGTGACGACAATCCAGCAGCTTGATCATCAGCATAAAAAACCACAAACTTGAGAACACAGCGAGCTGATGACTTTGATAAGATGACTTAAAAGGTGACAAGTCAACTCATTGTCAAAGTGCTCTGTTGTTTGATATGTAAAATGCGTGATGGAAGTCTACGGTGCTGAAATATTGCAAGACAATCCATCGCGAGGCTCCTTATCTAATCTAGTGTGGGGCACTCTGCTCTTCGGGTTAATCCCGCCGGGCGGAATTAAGTGTGTGAGTGTGTGTATGTTAAGTGTGTGATTTTGTGAGTGTGATGAGATGAGAAGAGAGAGAGACAGAGAGAGTAGAGAGAGAGAGAGAGAGGAGAGAGAGAGAGAGAGAGAGAGAGAGAGAGAGAGAGAGAGAGAGAGAGAGAGAGACAGAGAGTGTGTGTGTATGTATGTATGTGTGTGTGTATGTATGTATGTGCGTGTGTATGTATGTATGTGTGTGTGTATATATGTGTATCTATGCCAGGAGATTCTGCTTTATGACACGCGCCGGCAGCGAGCTCCATGAGGTAGTTCAAAAAAGGTGTAAAGCGACGACGTTAATCGACAACACCCACTGCGAGACATCAAGCCAGACGAATCTTGGTCGGCACCTGTCCATCAAACAATGAGCGGTCCAAGATCTGCCCCATGCCGACCCCTTGCCATGCGCCTAGTGCAGTCGAGTACGAGATGAAGAGTACCATGCACCCTCTGAACCATCTGTCGTGAGTAAGAGACGCCACCCTGATGCATGATGCAAGTGATGCCCTCCGCCGGCCCGTCTATGCCGCTCCGTGTCTCGCAGTCGAGCGACGCCCAGCCGATGTGCCGTCCACTGTCGTCATGGACGTCCCAATATGTTGTGTCGTAGTCAGGTGCGACGAAGAGGATGACATTGTTGTATACCGGCAGTCCCACTCGACCCTGACACAACTGCAGCTCGGTTGTGATAAGGACCGCACCGTCAAGGTCCAAGATGCTCTGGGGCTGATGGAGCGACGAGTCACCCGCAAGCTTGATTTCGGGTTGGAGCCAGGCCGGACCGAAACCTGACGGACGGTAATACTGGGATTTACCCTTCACCGATGTCCAGGACCATGTCGGCGCCGGGGCTGCGTCCTACAAGACATTAGACATCATCGGAGCCATCTCATCTCTTGAACGCCGTCTTCAACCCCATATCCAAGACGAGCCTGGTCTAATCCGCTCAAAGCTAAAATTCCACACCTCGGCCCGCCTCGGACCCTCGGACGACTCCGTAAAGCCCACATGCTGGAACACGCTCGGGTCGAGCGCCCACTTCTTTAGGCCCCGGTCGCCCGCGTAGCCCTCGAGGATCATGTCTCCGGGAAAATCGTATGGGGGGAAGCGCATCAGCTGAAAAACACCGTCGAGCTGGCGCCGGGGGAACACCAGCCCTTGCGCGCAGCACCCGTAGTTGGGCATCTCGCGCACACCGTGCGAGTTCCACGCGAGGGGGTTGATGCGGCTGACCGCCACCCGGCCGGCGAGAAAGTACAACGCGATCAGCGCCGGCAGCCAGAAGCCAAAGGCAAGCGCCGTGACGTACCGGCATCTCTGGACGTATTTGCTGGATCCGGCGGCGCCGAGGCGGAATCGTTTTCGAGCCACCAAGAAGACGATCAGGGCGACCGCGTAGGTGAGGAAGACGTGGACTGCGTAGGTGAGCCATTCCTCGCTGTTCCAGCCCATGAGCAGCTCCGAGTAGAACAGTCGGAGGTATATCCACTCTTGCTTTGTCTTTACTGTCTTGGCTTCAACGTATGCGAGGCCTCGCTTTAGGCGCGCGAACCAGTCGCGCGACGCTATTATGTCGTCTTCGACGAGGACGAAGTAGTCGGCATCGTGGTCGCGACATGTTTCGACGAGGAGGGAATGATCCAGCCGCATGTTTTCCACGCGTCCGTCGCCCCGCGTTCGGTCAGGTACTAAGTCGAATGGAACTGTTCGGTATATACTGCTATTGCCGCTGGTGGGCGGTTTGCCGTACAGCAGGACTTCATCGGCGAGGCTCTCGAGCCATTGCTGTCCGTAAGCGGAGTGGCGGTCCGAAGGTCGGTCGGCAAGTAAAACGACAAGATGGATGGAGGCGCGCTCTTGCGGCGTGAGGTTATCGGTTAGGGTGGCGATGGTGTGCGAGAGGAAGGACTGCGTTGTGCGATTGATGCTAGGGACGCCGACGCAGAGGAACTGCTTTTCGTCGGGCGGCAATTTGGGCGGGATGTTGCGGAGAAAAACATCGGCTTCTGTGGCGCGCTCGCGCGAGAACCGCAGTTGGTAGCCTCGCTCCTTGTCGTAAAAGATAGAGGACGGGTCGTCGTAGGAGTTGAATGAGCATAGCATCAGGAGGAGGACCCAGACGGTCAAAAAGCCCGCGTTGAGGCGCGAGAGAGACATTCTGTTTTTTTTTTTCTTTTTTATCTTTTTAATATGTCTCTCGGAACCGCTCCCTCCTGCTCCCATGGTTGTAGGAGCCTGGGTCCGGGTGTGGCCTGAGAGCCGGGTGTGTGGCCTCGGCCGGAGATTTGGCTGTGGCGAGGGATTCGGGTGTACGGGCCGGAGCCAGGCTTCTGGTGGACTACCCCGCTGCCTCCAGGGGGCCGCACTCCTGGCTCCAGCCAAAGCAACACAGGGCCGTCCATGATCAATTTCCGGTGCCTACAGGATAACGCAGTTTAAATAACGTGTATGGCAAGCGAGCCGGCCAGACAAGCGAGTCAACTTAACGAATTTGGAGTACTTTTTCCGTCTTAACACCTACTCCCATTCCCCGTCGGACTAGACTCCAAGAGTAGAGTCCGTCGTTCTGGCGCGCGCGCGCGCACGGGCCCGCGTCCTACCAGGGGTTGAATCCGTTGCTCGTGGCAGTCGAGTAGAATCCGATGGGATTCCGGGGCGGCGAAACGCGCGCGCGCGGTATCAATCGGCAGCAGGCGGCCTGGGCATGCGCGCGGCGCCAGCCGCTGGCTCATGCGACGGCGCGATCGCGCGATGCAACTTGTTTTGTCCCCTCGTCTAAACTCTTCGCGCGGGGATTTGGGGTAGTATTGGGGCACTTGGAGTTGGTGCACTTAAGCTAGCATCGGGGGTTAGGGCAACGTTAGGGTAGGTAGTATCGAGGCAATTAGTGTTGGTAGCGGCGGCCTGAGCGGACCACTGGTCGTCTGACAAGAATGCAGCGTATCGTCTAGACTAGGACCTCGTCGTCTGAGGACCAATCTTAACATCAGCTCGTGGCGGCACATCGCCATCCCGATCGGGCGAAGACACCTGCGTGGTATGACTGGTAAACAAAACCCATGCGGGTACCCCCGCTAACCGAGGGCAAGGTATCCACAATTTCTTTCAATAGTTACACCAAAGAGCTAGCCAAGAATTTGTGTGCATAATCTTGGCTGCAATTACCGACTTGCACCGATCTGGCATTTCAGGCTTAGTGCGTCCGGGCATAATAAATTCCATCCATCAATCCAACCGATCTGGCATTGAGGCCAACAGCTCCTTCAAGTGGTCATCCGGCAGTGCCTCCCAAGCCTCATTAACATACTGGCACAGCTTATCGTATGGTGGCTATTCTTCAAGGCCATACCTGTCTGCGATCCAGTTCTTCATCCAGTTCCAACAAGGCTCAATGGGGTTCGAATCTGGTGAGAATTGGGGCCAGTCCATCACGACAATGTCTCGCTCACGGAGATCTCCCTAACCATCGTCCGAGCCATCGCCACCTGAAACGACAATTAGGTGTGCTACGAGCTTAGGCGGGGCGAGACATACCCGGAATTGGACGCTGAGCACTGTGACAGGGGCAGCCGTGATTGGGTCTAGCGTTCCGGAGCTTGCAGGTAAGTCGATTGTCGGCGCTGGGCCAAGTGTCGGGGCAAAGGCATTCTTCCGAGGCGACAGATTGACATTGCGAGAACGGATTGGGGACGCGAACGGGTTTCTGCTTGCAATTCTGCCAGGGCCAGCTGCTCGTGGCGTCGTAGGTGGGCCGTCTGCAGGGCTCGACAACGTGGACGCTGAGGTTCTGTGCGCGGACAGGGTGTTCTGCCGAATGAGTTCCCAGCAGTCGGAAGGACCACCAGGATCCTGACGGTAGAGTCAACCAGCTTAGGGCCTTTGATCAGGTCGCGGTCCAGGACCCCCAGGAGGCGACCACTGCATACTATCCTAGATTCCTTAGGAAAGGGGTTCGCCGCAGTCCGCATCCACCCGGCCAGAAACTTCCACGGTTGGCGGTCGACAGGGAAGAGGACGAGAACGTGGCATACGTGTACGCCTTCGCGAAGAGGGCGGTCGTTCCTCGGCTGCAGATAAGATCCAAGCTTGACGAACACCGAAGTCTTTTGTCAGAGGCTCTGGCCAGACACCCTCCTCGAGGTGGAAGGTGCCCAGATCGACAGGACCGGCAAAGGACACATTCGCTGAAGAGGTCGGCCAAGGAGCATTCTCGCCGCTATCACTAAGCTGGCGAGAAATAATACTTGGGCGTATAAGCATCCGAGACCAGCACGAGGACCAAGTGGGATCACGTACGGTGTCAAGCCGTCATCGCGCGGCAGTGCCTGTGAAACCTGCACGAACTGGGTATCCTCTGACTCCCATCCGTCCAAAGCAACTCCTTGAAAGGTCAGCTTGTTTGGCAGGAGTCGGGCGACGATGCTGGACCACTTCCCCTCTCAGTCTTCCTCCAGAGTCGCCGTCCTTGCTTCGGCGTTGAACATGGAGAGTATGAAAGGAAGGCCTGAGCTCTAATCATCTCTAGGGCTGAGCAGGCGCGAATAGAGGTCGTGAATGAAGGCGGGTTGGGTGAAGGGTAGGAAGGTGCCGGTTTGAACCCTCTCGCAGCCGTATACCGCGAGCCGGTTGGGAGGACTGCGCACTGAGCCAAGTCGGAGTGGTAGGTGACGATGAGATCCGCACCGACTGGTTTTTGGTCTCGCTTGTTTGGCAGCGGAGGCATCGTATAGACAGCAGAGGTGGGAGCAGAGGTGGGAGGAGAGGCCATGCTTGCTGCAGTACGCTGACGGATAGTATGTCAAGTGGATCGAGTCTCGGAGGGGGAGAGGCGCTCGGGCGAGATGGCCTTTAAGAACTACGGCCTCTGAGGTTCCCACAAAGAGAGCCCGCGGGCTTCTGGGACAAAGACAGCTCAGGGCAATTGACGAAAGCCGTGGAATTGCTCCGGAAACGGACATGGCAATAAACATGCCAGAAGAGTGGGAGCAAATATGGGTTCGAATACAGAACACATCTGGCAAAAAATGTCCCAGTAATAGTGAAAGCAATAGAAACACCAGACTCTGGCAACAGAGGTTCAGTGCAGTACAAGCAAATCAGAGAGTTGTGGACAGTTATGTGTTAATGGTCATGTCTATACACAACGAGCCCAGAGCCCTCAAACCGGGTTCAGGCCAATATGTTGGTAGGGCCTATTTTGGGGTTTAAAATCATCAGACGCTCGGAACAACGACTCCAATTGCAAAACCCTTGCAGAACCCATTTTCTGAGAAAGGGTGGCGCGATACGATATCCGTGAGACGTGTTACAGTTTGTACAGTCTCGCCTCCTGACAACTCTCTCTCACAAGTTGCCTGTTCTTGTACCCATAGAACATCCTTAGCCCGACAGCGACCATTGCGACCATGAACAACATTCCCGCATTCACCCAGTTGCCGGTCGGGAACCCCCTGTCCCTCTCTTCGGCCTTGTAAATCCACATCCCGGGGATCGACCCTATTCCTGCGCCGAGGCTGACACTGATGGCAATGGCCAGGCCTACCGACGCCGTCGTGTGGACATTTGAGGACAACCAGCCGAGCATAGGCGGGGCGGAAGCAAACGTTCCAGCTGTGGAAACAATCAGACAGCCGTAGCGGTGGAGGTAGGCGTCGGGCGGCAGGAGAGCAGCGGCCATGAAGCCGACGGCACCGATGGAGGCAAAGGTGGCGATGTGCAGACCACGGGCATTGAAGCGGTCCGCCGAGTGTGAGACGAGCAGTTGGCATACTGCCACCTTATCAGTCAGCGTCGGCAAAGGGGCTAAATACGAGCAACAGTCAACCCACCATACGCCGCCGCATACGGAGGCACCGTCATCAGCTGCGCCTGCAGATCGACATAGCCCAGACCCGCCGTGATGAACGGCACGAACAGGGACAGCGAGCCAAACGGTACCGACAGGCCAAACTGCATCAGATAGTGCCCATAGAGCCTCCACTCCGCTAGTGTGCTCTTTGCATCCTGCCTCGTCATGCTCCGATGATTCCTCTTGCTCCCCTCCACTCTCAACCTCGCCACCGCAACATCTTTCTGTCTCCCCTTCAAGAACTCCTCCGGAAAATCGGGCAACAACCACCATACGAGCGCCGCTGAAACACAGGACGGCGCCCCCTCGATGATAAACAACCATCTCCACGCCTCCAATCCCCTCATCAGATTCATATGCCCGATTCCATACGCAATGGTACCGCCAAACGCGCTGGCAAGGCTCGCCATCGAAAGGATGAACGCTACACGCACGCTCCGCTCATCAGACCGGTACCAGAACGTGAGATAATACACCAATCCGGGAAACAATCCCGCCTCAAACACCCCCAAGAGAAACCTCACCCCGGCCGCCTCCGGAAAAGAATGGACCCCGCCCAAGCCCATGGTGATGGCTCCCCAGGAGAACATGAGAAACGCAAGCCAACGGGATGGGCGCAGTTTCTTGAGGAGTATGTTGGAGGGCACCTCGAACAGGGCGTATCCGACCTGGAAGATCATCAGGGTGACGTTGAACTGGTGCTGGGTCGCGCCGATGGTGGTTTGCATGTCGTGGTGCGTGGACGAGTTGAGAATGCGCGCGTTGCCTATGTTTGAGCGGTCGAGGTAGCAGAGGAAGTAGATGAAGGCGGAGAGAGGGAGGATCGTGAGGTCTTGGTGACGGAGGAGCAAACGCTCCTCGGTGGGAGAATACGAATCAGACAAAGCGGGCTGGTGGAGGTGCAGATGGTTAGTAAGGAGTCTAAGAGGAAGGAAAGGAGGGGGAGGGGGACGAACGTCGATTGTCGCAGGGGAGGTGTCGGTGAGGTTATTCTGTCGCTGGCCCGCCTTCTCGGGGTCCGCTTCCTGAGTCGAGTTTGGGTCCATTGGGCCGTCGGTTGAAATGTGGCTTGGGCTTGCGATTTGTCTAACCGGAAGGAACAGACACTCAGTCGTTGGAATGTAGAAGCCCTCCACACACTACGCTTCGACAAATTTGTGGGGGATTACAGAGAAATTCAAAATATCGCCCGGTGTCCGATGTGAGAGATCTGCAACTCGGGTCTTCCAAGGTCACTTCGCACCCGTTGTGTTAGGCAACGTTGTACAGCGCGCCCGGCGTCTCACCCCTCCGGATCATCATCCACTCCCAGTAATCGAGACCAGGCGACTGAGACAAGCGCGGGACGGAGACTCCCGAGCTGCGTCGAGTTGCCTTGTTGCGTGACATTGACCTGCCAATCTCGGTCTAAATGCGAGTTGGGATCGGGCTGGGGTTGTGAACGGTGTCTATATTCTCAACCTCCGATGGAAGCCAGACATATGCAAGGTAACCACCAGACTGGGGGTATATCTCGACAACCTTCGCCCCTCTGTCCCGTGTTTGTGTGCAACACTGGCGTTACTCTAAAGGCTGGCTGTCGTTTGTTGGGTGTTCAGGTTTGCCACCGCTTAGTCTAGGTACGCATCTGTGCCCGGCGGACTTTGTATGTACTTCAAGTCGTTGTTGAACAAAGCGAGAGATGGTCAGATTCTGCTTCTGGACATAATCAGGTAAGAGCATGAGAAACGAGACCTGAGAGTACGGTAACGTTATTCAAACTCCCTGGAGCAGTTTCATAGCCCAGGACTACAGTGGGTGGGCATAGTGTGAGCGAATGCAAGTGTTTGGATGATAGTTTCATGTTGTCATTGACTCTGTTGTCCTTTGTAGGAATCCGGCGTTCTGCGTTGTGCTCAGTTTGAAGATTCTCTGTAACTGGATCTTGATGTTTACCAGGCACCTCAGTGGCAACAGATTGAATCAACGCAGCCAACTTGGAATATTTCTGGTTAGGGTTAGGGTTACTTGTAAACTTCCATTTCAGATTGGTTTCGAGATACCTTACGCAGAGGCACCTCGCTCTTACCTGACCCTCACCTTGTAATTCAGGGCTGTCCTCGTTCAAGTTCACAAGCGATTTGGGCAAGTGCGAGGGATTACATTGTTGGGCCACAACAGGCACCGATTCCAGGTTGGGAGCAAACGTCCCAAGTACGGATCCGTACGTCCCACACACAGCCTTTCAAAATAATTCAACTCTTGCAGCAAGCGGTTTTCCTTGTCCCCGTCAAGACAATTCTGAGAGTTAGCTCGCCGCTCGAAAAACTTGTTCGATGGTTCAGAGTAAGTAAGTCCGATTTCCAATGCATCTATATCTATGCTACAACGCCTTGAAGTCGGCTGCATTCAATTTCTGACCGACTTTTCTTTTCTTGTCAGAGAGAAAGGACCCGACAACGTCAACTTGAGTAGTTTTCACCCGTCAACCTCGACAATGGAGTCCTCTCCCACCCCAAAGATCGCGCTTGATGCGACTTCTTTGGCCTGGCTGGATGACCCTGATGTCAACACTCTCCGGGACATGATCTACCGCCTCAAGAAACTCAGTATTGAAAACACCGCGCCTCCTTAGATCGTTGTGGTTGGCGCACTTTCCTCAGGGGAAAGCTTAGTGCTTGAGACCACCTCAGGCATCCGATCTCGGCCCCAAGGTAATCCACTTACACGATTCGCCATTGAGCTAGTTCTCGTCTTTCGGATGAGACAGCTGTCAAAGTGATCGTTCGAAACGCGGAGGGCTCGCCTTCCGTTGTGCAGGGCAAAGTCGCATTTCTTGCATCCCGGCAACCCTGCTTCGACAATAACACCCTGTCCGATACATTCAAGAGGCTCGACAACTGCTGGATTGTGGTGACGGCAATGGAAACGAAAATTTTCAAAGAAATTCTGCGCGTCGAGGTCGCCGGACCTGAGCTTCACTCTTTCGACAAAGGGAGCACGATACAACATCTTGGGAGAAGGTGGACACGTGGTTGAACAAGCCACCTCGAGCCCGAATGAATCCCGTCTTCCTGATTATCTCCAGCCGTTTCGCAATCTTTACCAGATTCGCGACCCTGAACCGATTACCGAGAATGAGCTGAGGTCTCGACTTCGATTGCCGGCTTCAGGCAATCAAGGAATGGAGCTTCCGGGTGTGCCTAACGGAAGCCTTGTTCTCAAGCTTTTCAAGCTTCAGGCCCAACGCTGGCACGAGATTGGGTAGGCCCACTTCGACCAAGTCTTCACCGTCACCAAGGCATTTGCGGAGCATTTGGTTGTCCATCTTACCGGGGTCGATGGCAAAAACTCCAAGGCCATCCTGGTAGAATTCGTCGACCGGCTTTTCGATGGAGAAAAAGGAGACCATGCAGAGCAAGCTGCAGGATCTTCTTGCTCCTTACACTAGCGGTTACGGTTTCTCACTTGGGAGACAGTTCCATGCCAACGCGTGCACGGAGGCGACCCCGCGTCATGCCGCTGAGCTCGTGGGTCACACCGAGAAGCAAAATCCGGACCTCTTCCGGACCAACTCCAGTTAAGGACTGGACCGCGCCAGGCTCACACAGGCCATTGCTAACTTAGGAGACGCCCGGAGCGACCATTTTGGCACGGCCAAGATCATTGACATGATGTTGGCTCATCACCGAGCAAGTCGACACGCTAGGAGAGCATGGAGAATGTCTGATACTAACCCGACCTTCCAGATGTCAATGAAGACGTTCGTCGACAACGTCATCAACCTCGGCGTTGAGACTTGCGTTCTTCGCGGCATTCCAATCGAAGACCGTTGGGGAGATGAGCACCGATAAGCTGGAAAATTGTCGTCAGTATCGGAGGAGCTCCGGGCGAGAAGGAAAAGGCTGCAAGACGAGAGGTTGGCCATCTTTGCAAGACGCTTTCAAGGTGTGTAAAAAACACAGGACGAGAGAGCCTACAGGTACGTCGAAGCAACCGAACCTGGCTGCTCGCTCATTCTGACCTACTCTTACCATTTCTTCCCTCAATTCTGCCCGCTCCTTTCCGGATTTCATCACCTAGCACCACCACAGGCACCGGCAGCATCGCCTATGCGAGCAAACAACCCAGAGCAGCTGAAGAGTGTACCCCAGCGGCAAAGAGGGTAAAAGGTGGAGACCAATGTCATGGAGTCTAGGCCGGCGAGTATCTTTGGTCGGCCTGCCGCAGCAACTCCCACTTCAAATGCCGCTGGTGGTCTCCTTGGTTCAGCAGTTCCCGCTGTCAACACCACCCGTAGTCTCTTTGGCTCAGCAGCTCCGGCTTCAAATGCCACCGCCACCACCACCGCCAGTCTCTGTGGGTCTGCAGCCCCAATACCAATGGGAGGACTGGGTTCTCGGGTTAGTCTCACGAATACGCCACGAGCCAGTGGGATACCACTCCGATCCACTCGAGACAGGCACAGGACAGAAGTGGAAGCTTGAGGAGCCTGAATTACCCGGGCATGGAACTTGTTTCGTCATCCGAGGTGTGTGTTGTTTCGGTATCATTATCACAGATCAGAACGGAGGGGTTGATAGATTTCTCGATAATATTGGTCATCAGGAGAAGTATAGGGGCTTTTCAAGGGAGGAGCTGAAACTCAAATGGCTTGTTTCACAGGGTCGTTTCTCTTAGGGTGTTGTTGCTGCACCTATGCATGAGGTGTGCCGGAACATTTGTTTGGCCAGGTTGTACGGTCATTGTGTAGGTAATATGATGGACGGATACATTTGTTCGCCTGCTAGTTACTCCTTTGTCCTTGCGGAAACAGTGTACTGATCACAGTATCGGTGCTTGGGATGTGAGAGGGCAAAATACGCATCACGACGAAGGGATTTAAACCTCTAGTTGCCGGATCACGTGTGGTGCGCGGCCGACCCTAGCGAGGGCATCTGCGTCTGAGAGGACCCGGGGACGAGTCGTCTCCTGCCTGGCATTCTGTCGAAACTGGACCACTGTTTTGCTTTGAGACGATCTGGGAACCGACATGCGATGGGGCTGGGACTTGAGGAGCTTTAGAAATATGGATGAGCGGACGCCGAGCAGAAGCTCGCGACTGGCTGGAAAGCGTGACAGTCCTTCCTTCTTGTGTGTGCTGCTGATGGAGGCTCAGGTGTTGCGAATGATGTCTTGCCGCGCCGACGCGCTGACACGGTTGACCTCCATCCGGGCTGATGCCAGAGCCGGAGGGGATGGAACACCGGTGGCGTTAGGTTGAATAGTCGATCCCAGGGAGCGATGGCGTGAGATTCATTGAATCGTGTCAGTCGCAGCCGAAACTTGAAAGCCAGCATAAGTAACACCGTAAATGTGGTTCCGAGTCAGGGCCAAGGACTCCTGAAATCCTTCACCCCAAGAAATTCATCAAGTCAGACAAGTCAGATCTGAAGGCACATTTGACGTGCCATACCAAGCCATATTTGGACTTGCGTTTGGCTTCGCTAACATAAGCGAATATCCCTCGTCACTGAAGTGCTTACTTACATCTTCCTAGCCCTCGCCACATACACCTGTTTGCTGCGCATCAGGACCTCCTTCACGGCAGCCCCACTGTTCTCTTTTCAACTGCTGCTCCTGTCGTTCTCTCTCCAACGTGTCTCATTTCCGCTTTGCACATCCTCGACACGGGAATCGCCTTCGTCCAACATGTGCCGCGTCTGCTATCGCCTCAACATCGAGTTTGAGGAACCCTCAGAGGAGGAGCGCGCAAGGGCGACCGCTGGAAGAGGAAGCCCGAAAGGAAGCCGAGATCCGAAGAGAGGAACAAGAGCGGGCCGAACTTTATCGCCGGGGAATAGAGCCACCCAGACCTCGCCGGAAGGTTCTTAGTTCGCCGACCAAGTTCGTAGTAGAGGCCGCACCTAGCCACCGGTGCGCCAACATTTGCCGCATACGAAATGCCACTCGCGTTGCTTCCCACCGACCCGAGCAACCCAGATGGCTACATGTTGCAGAATTTGGGGTTTTTGGCATTGGATTCCAAATGCGGTTACAGGTTTCCATGTGTGGGGTTGTCCCTGACGCGTCTCATTCCGCCCGTTTGGGCTTCATTCGCTGTACTGTGTAATTATTGAGCCGTGTAGGTGGCCCATTTTTTCTTTGTTCTTGCATCTTCAACCACATTCTTCATTGCATGTTCAATTCAGTCAGTTCGGTTCATTCCAAGGACTTCAACACTGCTGTGGTGACTGCGTCACTACCGCAATTCGCCGCCAAGTCAGGACGCGGAGCACCGTCCTCCGTTCGGCATCCGCATCTACGATACTACGCCCAGCACCACAGCAGAACGCGCAGCCCTTCTTGGGCGCCGCATTACGGAGCTGACATACAACACTCGCGTAATTGACAACTGGGAATACAAGGACCGCATCGAGGTTGTGGCGCCGAGTCGATGACAGCCAAGACCGAGAGGCTAATTGCATTGCGCGTAACGAGGCCGAGCGTAGGGCTCGGCTCTCTATCGCCGATGCTGCTCTCGCTGCACCATGGTTGATGGTCGAGAACATCTACGGCAATGCTAGGAACGGGTATTCATCATCACCGACCTCAAAGCCTCGGGGGAAGACGCGCTTCCCAACCCCAATCCCCTCGACTGGTCAACTCGCAATGTTCATGGACACTTTTCGAAATGTTGATTACGACGAGCGCTTCCACTATTCAAAGCGAGGAAGAACTGGACGAGGAAGGCGACGTAGTGGCCGAGCTCCCTCCAGACATGGTCTCTCGCGGCGAGTACAATCTTTGAACCTCTCGGGGCCATTTGTTGGAACCTGGAGGGCGATGACCGCTGAGATATGCGCTGGAAGAAGCTATTCCGAGTCAACGCAATGGATTGGATTGGAAGGTGGTAGAGTGCTTGATTGACCATGCTGTTGATGGGCATGGGAGAGGACTAAGTACATGTAGGTAAGAGAGAGGGGTTGCAGTGCGAAGTTCTGGACATGGAGCTAACGCTCGCAAGAGCCGAGGCGGCCGGCGTCGAGGTGCCACGGCCAGTGGTGATCCCTCTCAAGCGTGAAGCCGGCTGGAGTAACCTTGGCGCCAACTGAATGGGGAAAACCAGAGGCACCTCTAGAGTCTGGACCTCGGGGATCGCCAGTTCATTTTGTTTTCGAAACTGCACCTCCTTCCTTAAAGCCATCTTTGGAGCCCAGCAAACCCCCCTTGCACACTGAACGCCTCAATCCCTCGATCCCTAAACGTGGCGGTCGCGAGCCTGGAGGCATCACCATCATAGCAAACCACCACGACGGCACGCCGGCCCCTACCAGCATCCTTTAGGAGTTCTACCATCTCCTTTGCAGAGAAGTGCACCTGAATCGAATTCCACACGTTGAACACGGCCTCGGGATCTCCAAACAAGTCTCCATCCGCAAGGTCTGGCGTCAGCCCTTCCAAAGGTACGCTTAACGACCCCGGAACGTGCTTGGCCCTGAACGCGACCTTGCTGCGCAGGTCCAGAACCAAGGGTGCCGATGGAGGGCTTGGTGCGTGGATTGCGCAACACCGAGGTTGGTGGGAGACGATGGTTCTCGAGTTGGCAGACTTCAACTTGAAGGGACTGCCAAAGCAAGACCGAAATAGTGACGACTTCGGAGTAGGCCGGCGTGGTGTGAATGCCTGTTTCGACTCAGCAACCAGCCCGTCGAGGGTGATTTCCGAAACCTCCGCTGCATTCTTGTAAGAGGTGGAGAAGAAGGTCGGTTTCGGGCGAAGCAGATGTTCAGCTGCTAAGGGGGTGAGGATCCAGCGCTCATCGTGCTTGAGCTGATCGCATTGGAGGAGAATCTGGCGACCGAGTCAGGCTTTTGTTCAGAACGGGAGTTAAGCATGAGGATCCATCAGACCGGGGGTGACGAACCTCATTTTGAATGGAGGGAAACTCCTCGGGCCGCAGCTTCTGAAAATACAGTGGGAGATACTGGTACGGCAGGTCGCTGCAGGTGAATACGCAAGACACCTCTCCCGTGGCGGGATCGGCGAGCTGTTGCAGCTCGCCGGTTTCCTTGAGCTGGCCAACATAGTCCAGAAGACCCTTGAGAGCCTGGCCCGAAGATGGACCGGCGATGAGGCCTTCTCGTGAGAGTCGCATCGACATGCGGTATGAGTCGACCGATGCCACATCGACGAAGGTGTCGACTGTTTGCGCCCACGGGAAGCCGCACGAGTTGAAGTTCTCAAAGTGCCTGGGGCCGGGGGTGGGGTCGCCAAACACGTTGAAGACGCCCAGTGTCCGGACTGATGGCTTTTGTGACTTGAGGTAGGAGGAAGTCCCGGTGATGCAGCCCCCAGTTCCTACTGTGGTGCAAAACAGGTTGATCTCGGGTAGTTGCCTCAGGATTTGTGGCCCTGTCCATTGCTCGTGGGCTTTCCAGTTCTGTGCTAAATCAGAGGTTGTCATTACGAAACAATATGAGCGAGGGCTTACATTCTCGTTGTCGTACTGCCCCGGGTAGACAATGTCCTCTCTTTTTTTTGCCAGACGCCTCAACCTGCACATGATGCCCGTTGGATCGGTGGGTTCTTGCTGTGCTAGTCCCCCGTAGAGATGTCTGCTCGTGGTTAATCATCCAGTGTTGAATGCTGGTATTTCGAGAGAGGACCCTACGGTGTAATACCAAAGAAGCGAAGCATGTTGAGAGACTCGGGGTGCTTCTTGTTCGTCACGTATGCGTTGACATGTTCGTTTCCCCAGAGCACCCGTGCGAGGATACCCAGAGAGAGAACCGTCGAGCCCGAACTTGCTTCAACGATTGTCTGTCTCTCCACCTCCGGAATTCCTCTGAGCATCTTCAGTGCTGTGTTTTCGTGTTAATCCCTGCTATCAACCATGTATTCATTGAGGTAAAGTTTTCGAACTTGCCTGGCAATGACTTGACATTTTGAGCGGGCAGATGAGTGAGCAGCTTGGCGTATATCCTGACAGCATCCTTTCTATGGGGGTTCAAACGGTCCGGTATCTCAACAAGTGGCACAGGTGGATTCTTCTCAGGGTCGAAGAAGTCGGCCACCGAGTTAGGACCTCGAAATACGTTATTTGGAGAACCCATGGAGCTTGAGTGGAGAACCCCTGATGGGCTGTGTCAAAGGTCCAAAGCCACCAGCGAAACAAGGAGCTAGGATCTAAGCTTTGTTACGGAGAATTGCGAGGTTGGCTTTAAGAATACCACAACGACAAGGCTTCATCAACCTCACTTGAAATGGCTTTTAAACTCGTAGTCTCCTCTACCTGGCACTGTTCGACGACGGCAAATACCGAGCCCCCTTTTCGGACTCAGGCCTGGGCCAGCCTCCGTTCCTAATCCTCCCGTCTCCGAGAGCCCCATGGCATGGCGATGCCAGTGATGGCCGCATGGACGGGTTACGATGTCATCATCTTTCAGAATCTCATCCCAAGATGCGATTTTACGTGCTCCAAACCCCTCTCAGCCCAATGCCGAGTCGGCGAGCTGGCTCCGGCTCGGTCCTTGGCCTGTGTGACTCGTGACCGACCATGCACGTCACCTACTATTTCTGGGCAATGGATACAGCACGCTCGAAGAAACCGTCGCTGCGGCGGGAGGCAGCTGAGAGAAAAGGCTGGGATGTTTCAGGGCCAGGGGTCGGGTGAGCAGGTTGAGCAAGTTGAGCAAATTGAGCAAGTTTTCCGAGGCAACGCCATGCATAAACAGCCCAAAACCCGAGATGCGGAGGGGCAGTCCGCACACCGTTGCATCCGTATGGGGAGAAAGATCTGTGTGATCAATATGGCGGCCATCGTAGCCATGTGACCTTCGATGTTTGGGAATGATATTTAGTTACTTGGATCGAGTTTCGTCTTGGTTTGGAAGCTGCATGGCCAAATCGGCAGTCAGCGATCACTTCCACCTGGTGCAACCCACATTTTCGGTTTGCGATGGCTCAGAAAGACCGTCTGGGCTGGACATTGGGTCTCAAGTCCGGCTCAATTAAAGGTGCGACACCGGGCATGCGGCAATGGCCACCCTCGTGATAGTTGTAGATGCAGAGTCGCAGACTAATGCATTATTCAGTTCACCTTTACGCGCTTTGGACCACGACCCCTGGGCCTTCGCAAACCCACTGGTCGCTGGATTTTGAGGCGGTGCTTGCCGAGGACTTGTCAGCCTCCAAGTCATCTCTCATTCATATCGAAGATGGTGACCTCAACGACGCTCAGCGCGCTCTCATCCAGACGGCCCTCTTCAACGCCCTGGACGGCAACTCTACCAAGAGCCGCACCACCATCCTCCGTCTTCTCTTCCCCTCCGTCTCGGGCACCCCAATCCGATCCGACTTCCTCCACTACCGCCTCAACGGCTGCGAGCTGATTCACTCCGTCCACAGCTTCCTGCAACCCCTCCAACCCATCACCTCGGTCCCCGTCATTACGCCGCAAACCTCCTCGCCCACAACGCCAACGCCGCAAACCTTCCTCTCCCTCTTATCCTCCTCCATGGGCGGCATCATCGCCCAATCCTCATCCCCGTCCGACGCGCAAACCCTCAGCAACAACCTCACCTCCCAACTAACCTACCGCCTCTCCATCCCCTGGATCACCCCACCCACCAGCCCCCCGCGCCGCGCGCGCATCTTCTGGATCCAAGGCCGCGCCAACATCCAAGCCTCGCGGCAATTCTACGCCGCGGCCCACGCGCTGGGAATCAGTCTTGTCGTGTGCGACGAGCCGGGCCACTGGATGGAGTCGGACGATTTGGCGGTCAACCCCTGGGTGCACTACCGCGAGGCGTTTGTCCCGCTGTGTATTGACGCCGACGCGGGGTTGGCGCAGAGGATTGTGGATGCGGTCAGGGCGTATCCGGCCCGGGTGGATGGGGTGATGTGTATCAGTGATGTGAGGCTGGAGGCGGTGGCGAGGGCGTGTGAGGTTTTGGGGTTGGCTACTGAGCGGGCGGGGGCATATAAGGTCGCGGGAGATAAGGGGTTGACGAGGAGGTTGGTGGATGGGAATGGGGAGGGACAGGGGGAGGAGAGTTTTGTGCTGGAGGATGCGGCCGGGTTGGAGGCAGTATTGCGGGAGAGAGGGGGGAGGCTGGGGTATCCGTTGATCGTGAAGCCGTGCACGGGGTGGAATAGTGATTGTGTGGTCAAGGTGAGGGATGAGGACGAGTTGAGGGCGGCGGTCAGCAGGGCGTCGGGACGGCATGCGAACTCGGCGGCCAGGAATACGCGCGTGGTGGTGGAACCATATATTGATGGTCCCGAGGTGGACGCCAACTTTGTTGTTCTCGATGGGGAGGTGTTGTTCTGCGACATTACGGACGACTTTCCATGCCCCGGGGATTTGGTGCGCGCCGAGGGGAAGACGTTTGCGGCGAACTTCATGGAAACCTTGATGGATGTTCCTACGGCGTTGCCGGAGGACGAGCAGCGGATTATGAAGGAGTCACTGTGCAAAAGCATTGCGCGCTGTGGGTTCATTTCGGGCGTATTCCACTGTGAAGCGAGAGTCAGGTGTTCGAGGGCTCTGTACAAGCCAAGGGACGACAATGGCATCTTGGATTTACACGAGGAGATGAAGAAGGGCCAGCCGTCGTGCTATCTTCATGAGATCAACGCACGCCCGCCTGGCTATGTCAACTGCGTGGCCGCCCTGTTGGCATATGGCGTGGACTACTACGCCATCCGGTTGCTGCTAGCGCTGGGAGAGGAGGGCAAAGAGAGGATCAGGGCACTGGCACAGCCGTTTTCGGGAGGGAAACCACAGTACACGCTGGGAATCGCTGTCCTGCCGCCGTCAAAGGAGGGCATAATGGGTAGTAGGGACGCTGTGAAGGAGTTTCTGGACGCAAATCCAGACCTGGCGAAGCATGTCGTCTTTTACCAGACTGTGAAGCAGCGCGGCGAGCGAGTGCAAGGGCCCGACTCTAGCGAGTTGTGGTGTGTGGGCTATGTGATTGTCGCGTCCCGGACAGGGCGTAAGGAATGCCTGGAGCTGGCACAGATGGCGAGGAAGAGGTTCGACTACAAATTGATGGATGAGGCCTGAGGTCATCTTCTGCCTGAGACACTTGAAGGAGATAATCTTGAGCTTGTTTGTCTACGAGTCCTTGCCTCCAAGTCTGCAGATAATCTCAGTGCACACCAGCAGCCTCCAAGCATCATCAGCCGCAATGAACTTGCGCATGTTCTCTCTCAGCACCTCGACCTGCTCGTCCGAGTACCCAAACTTGGCGGCTGCCCGACGATATTGGGACGTTTCATCACCCAGCATCGTCAGCATCGACCCAGCGTACAGCAGCCTCTCCTGGTACGTGATGTTGCTAAGAATGCTGGCCGACGCCGTGATCTGGTCTCGCCTGAACCCGACTGCCAACGCTTTGCTCAGAAGCTTCCTCCCGGTCTGCGTGTCGAGCCCATTCATCTGGTATATCCGCTCCTGAAGCTCAGCGCTTTCGGGCAGCGGCGGCCACAGCAGCTGCGAGTGCGTATCCCCTTCGCGGCACGCCACAATGCCACCGTCCTGCTTGGCCAGCGTCTTCATGACGCGGAGAACTTCAATGTTGTTGGGGATGCAGATGAGGGTTGTGTGTTCGTGCACCACGTCGAAGTTGCCGATCTCGTCCGGTTTGAGACATGATTCTGGCTCGAGGATGTTGCCCGCACGGAACTCAATATTTGTCCCCGGGGCGTGTGTATCGATGTTGGCGTTGGCTCGCTCGATGGCCTCGACGCCGAGGTCTACGCCGATGATTTTGGCCTGTGGGAAACGGCGAGCCAGGTCAAAGGTGATGCTCCCCGGCCCGCAGCCGACATCAAGCAGGGAGAAAGTTGGCGGGAGCGACTCGAGTGTTGACAGCAGGTATCCCAAACATGTAGACGCGTTCCGCAATTCAAAGGCCTTCAACGTGTCTTCTTTGTATCCGATGTGGTACGCCTGCTCGGCGCCAGTCTGGTTTTGGTTGTCTGACGCCATGCTCGTCTGAATTGCTCTCAGATGCTGTTGAAGAGCTCTGTGGGAATCGACATGGAAAGCCGAATGACACGACTGAGGTTATACCCGCATATGCAATCCGGACGGAAGATGTACCGAGTCTGGTACTTCTCACCTCGAGACACGCACTAACACCTTGGATATCTTGGTTTACGCAAGGCAGGGGTGCTCAAACGGGATGAGCATTTTGCGAAGGAAAACCAGCGCTTTGAGCAGATTTGAGCGGAATACGGAGGCTTCCTGTCCGGGGAACGACGACGATCCTGCATCCGCCTCCTTGGCTGCTTGGCATGCCCCCTTGCCTTGATCTTGCCAGCCGCTGGTTGCCGACAACGCCCGAGTTGCTATCCTGGAACTGGGTTGAATGCTCTGCTGGGCTAAATTGTATCATCTCTTTCTTTTGGACTATCGTTGTGCCAGTGCCAGTGCGTTAAGATGGCTGCTGCTGAGAAAGACTCGGAGAAAGGGCAGGGCAGCTCATCTACAGCGCTGGAGGTGGCAGATTCTGACGCCGGCTTCCTCTCTCGAAATGCAACTGAAGACGAGATTCGAAGTTTGCCCAAAGTGGTTGACAAAATACCGCTTGCAGCGTGGGCTGCAGCGATGGTTGGGTCAGCCGAGAGATTCAGCTACTATTCCATCATCTCGATATGGCGTAAGTTTCCTTGTGCAATGTCCTGTTGCTTGACCATAAAAGCTTCGATTAAAGAGTCGAAAGTGGGGGAAAGGCTGGCTCACAGGACGATGGTTGACTTGATGACAACTAGAAAACTACATGCAGCATGAAAGAGGCTTTGGAGCCGTGCCTGGAGCACTTGGTCTGGGACAGTCCACAGCCACGTCAATATCCAATGCCTTCTTCGTCTTTATGTTTCTGACACCGATGCTGTTTGGCGTGGTTTCAGACATGTGGCTAGGTCGTTTCAGGACGCTGCTGCTTGGATTCTGGTTCGTCAAAGATGTAAAGCTTTGTCTGATGATCTTCCCTCACTGACATGTTCCGATCGACAGCTTGTTGATATGTGGGTCTTGCATCATGTTTGCAACTTCACTGCCAGTTGCCTTGGACAACGGGGCGGGCATCCCAGGACTGGCTCTCTCCATGGTCTTTATCGGACTGGGAGTAGGGGCCGTCAAGTCGACGATATCGCCCTTCATCGGTGACCAGTACGCACAGAAAAAGCCGCGGGTCGTTCGCCAGAAGAATGGCAAGCTTGCCGTAGTGAATGGTTCGCGGACCATTCAATTTCTGTTCAATGCCTTCTACTGGTGAGTGAGACGGTTTCAACGACTGGAAAATCTCGGCTGGAAATCGAATCTAGGCGGACGACTGATGGTTCAGGCTCACCAACATTGCTTCATTATCATCAATCCCGGCAACCTTTCTTGAGCGTGAGTTCGACTTTTGGGCCGCTTATCTTATGGCGGTTGTCTCGTTGGTCCTCTCGTTGGCCGCGCTTGTCATGATGAAGTCTAAGTTTGGTCAGTTTCCTGTTGAGTTCCACGTCGGAAGACTCCTGCGCTGAATTTGGAACGCATCAGTCAGAATTGTTCCACAACAAAACAACCTCCCCAGGACCCTCAGCGTCTTGACCATCGCTGCCCGAAACGGCTTCAGGCTCGACCACGCCAAACCCTCGTACCAACTTACGACACACAACCGCCCTGTCCCCTGGGACGATACCTTTGTCGACGAGCTCAAACGCGGCCTCATAGCATGCCGCGTGATGTAAGCCTTCCCTCACTCCCTCTCGTCCTCCCGTCTTGCGTTCTTCCTCCCCGAATCTCCCTCGTTACCGTATGATAGCTCACCCGCAGCCCAACAGTTTCTCCTTCGCCTTCTTCTACCTCTCCATCACCCAAATGTACAACAACCTCATCTCCCAGGCGTCCCAAATGAACCTGCACGGCGTGCCCAACGACATGATCCAGGCCATGGCCGGCGTGGCCTGCGTCGTCTTCGGTCCCGTCGTCCAGGCGCTGTACAACTTCCTGGCGAAACACCGCATCGCCTTCGGCCCCATCGCACGCATCTCGGCGGCCTTCGTCATCTGCGGCGGCGGTATGGCGTACGCCGCCGGCCTGCAGAGGCTCATCTACTCGACGGGGCCGTGCTACGACAGGCCGCTGACGTGTGATGGCAATGGTGCCAAGATCCCAAACGATGTCAACGTGTGGCTGCAGCTGCCCGTGTACGTGGCGTTGGCCATGGCCGAGATTTTTGGACTGGTGACGGCGAGCGAGTACTCGTACGAGAAGGCGCCGCACGGGATGCGTTCTGTGGTGCAGGCCATGGTGCAGCTCAGCGCGTGCCTGGGCGCGCTGATGGGCATGGCCATCAGTCCTGCGGCGAGGGATCCGTTTCTCGTGGCCGTCTATGGTGCCCTGGCGGGGGTGATGGGGCTTTGTGCGGTGCTGTTCTGGGCCGTGTTTAGGAGGTATGATCGGATCGATGATCAGTTAAGTCGGCCGGTGGTTGGTGGGGAGGACGCGGAGGAGAGGTCATCATGAGGGAGGCCGGGAGTGCCAATTGGATGGATGACTTTGGCAAATGGCTGTCCAGGTTGAAATCTGAACCTGGAGAAAGTAGTGGTTCAGGAAACGGAAAAGCCATGAGGATTAGGTATCCTGAGAATATCTGATTGCGGAAAGCAGTACATTTTGTGGTACGGGGTGCTGAGATGGTTCTGGTGAAGATGAGGATCAATGATCCAGCAACGGCTCAACTGCACTTGAAAATAAGGTATTCCGCTGCAAGTCCACGCAGGACAATTCTCTGCGTAATGGCACTTTGCAGTCAAAGGCACCTACTTCAGATATCACGCAATGATCAAGGAATCATGTGGTGGAACAGGCAAGTGGCGATGCACGTCGGTGAGACTTTCTACGATTTGGTGCTAGGTACGGAAGGGCAATCCCAACCAACACCTCATGGTCAAGCCACGCCAGCAGAAAGCCTCCAAAGCAGTAAAAACTGAATATTTAGCTACCGCAGTGGGGTTCTATAGTAGGCTATGAGGTTTACATAAGAAGTTTTGTCGAGAAGTTGCCCCATAAAGCATACAAAATTCGTGATTCTTACAGCCTGGAACAACTTACAGCACATGTGAGGTAAATGCGCCGAAAACCGTTGGACGTTGGTTGCGTTTCAAGGGTCCGACCTACACGGTAACCCCTGATGTGGGGCCGAGCCCGGCTGACCAGGGGGGAATTCGCCCCACCATACGGGCTTTGCATGCCGGAGGCTTCAAAGCCGTAGTAGCATGGGTCGCAAATCACTAAGGCTCCTCGGGCTCGAACAACATAATAAAGCATCGCTGTGGTAAGGATCTGATTACTTGCAAGCAGTAAGCAGCCTTAGCTTTCAGTTTGCCACAGTTCGTACGCGTGCCCGTTTTGCTTCGCAGTTTGCAGGTGCAAGCTCTACGGACGTACAGTCTACAAGAGACGGCCTTCTCCTAATTGGGCGTAGCTGCGCTATGCAGCCTCCTTGGGTCTCGGATTCTCCTCAGCCGCGGAACAATATCATCCCGACCTGACCTGGATTTCTGAAGCACGAGAGGAAGGTTTCAGAACTTTACATGCCAGGGAAACCACCTACACACAGCTACAGAGACCCAGGATGCTTTGCGAAACGTGCTTACAGATTCCTCTCGACCCGTTTCTGCCACACGAAGCCTGGGGCTCCTACCGAAATGGCCGAGCCTGGTTTGGAAACGCCATTGTGCGGCGCGGCGCCGACTGCGTCGACCAACTGCGCAAATCAAGCGAGGCAGGATGCCACCTGTGCACCATCTTCTTGGGCGCGTTAGACGCAGCGGAACCGGCTTGGGCCACGGGCGACTTCACCGGTTCCGATCACAGTCGGCTTCTGCACGCCCCCCGGCAACACCGAGAAGAGAGGCCGTTGATGGAAGCGCTTCAACTCGGGGTGAAAAAAGAAGGAGAGGTTCTCATTACCGACGGCAGCCGCACCGCTGGGCTGTACTGGGAACTTGAAAGCTTGAACTATGGACAAAAACAGCGTGCGTGCCGCCCCTCACTCCCACGAATCCACAACAGTAAAGTAAGGTAAGGTATTGAGCAGAGTGCTAACGAGGTACAGTCTCCGTCCATGACCGAGCGGACTGTGAGGAAAATTTCGCCCTTGCCAAAAGCTGGATCCAGACGTGCACTCAGCAGCATACTGCCTGCAGGCTTGGTAGCGAGCCCGCATTTCTCCCGACCAGACTGATTCACGTCGGCGATCCCGCCCAGGAAAAGCCTCCGCGTCTCGTTATTACTGCTTACTTCCCCTTTCCGGAGCACACTCAGTATCTCGCGCTGAGCCACTGCTGGGGAACGGATAGGGGAAAGACGGTGGCTAAAACGCTGACGTCGACTCTACCCGAGTACGTCGAGCGCATCGATGTGAAGAGCCTGCCCAAGACGTTCCTTGACGCCATGGAAGTGGTCCGCCGCTTGGGCTATCACTACCTCTGGATCGACTCGCTCTGCATCGTCCAGGATGACAAGAGGGACTTCGAGGTCGAGTGCAGCCACATGCACCTGGTCTACTCGCAAGCATTATGCACTATCGTAGTAGGCTGCCCTTGCTCCAGCAGCGCCTGAGCCCGCGCCCCGCAATAGTTTTATGTTGACAAGAGCTCCCAGGCGTCAGACTCAGAGGACGGTGACGGCGGCTGTTTTGTGCCGCGGAGCCCTCTCCAGGTCAAGCCGTGCGCCGTGACCCTGAAGAACCTGCGTCGCCCTTACCACCGCCCAAATGGCATCATGGACGTCGTCCGGGAGCGGTTCGCCAACGAACCCGACGAAGCCCAGGTCACCATCTACCCCAACTTTGGCCCCTGGGCCCGCGGGGTTCAGCGCGGCGCCGTCTCCCGCCGCGGCTGGTGCCTGCAGGAGCGCGAGATGAGCCCGCGCGTGCTGCACTACACGCGGGACCGCCTGATGTGGGAGTGCCGCGAGAGCATCGCGTCCGAGGACAGGCCCGAGCCGGAGCCCAAGAAGAAGAAGGACGAGGCGCTGGCGCCCCACCTGTCAAGCTCCCGGCTGTTGGACGACGGCGCCCTGCACGTCGTGTCCAAGCTGCCCAACCGCGTCCAGCTCAAGTCGCACAAGTGGGACAGGCTCGTCGAGGCCTACTCGAGACGCCGGCTGTCCGTGGCCGCTGACAAGTTGCCCGCTATATCGGGCATGGCGCGGGCTCTCGCCGAACGGCAGCCTGGCGACGAATATCTGGCGGGCATATGGAAGGGGAATCTGCTCAAAGGCTTGTCGTGGTTTCCGTCCAAGTCTCGCGATATCGCCCTTGTCCCTGCTGGGTCCTGGCCGCCGGCGCCCGTCGACGCTGGAATCCCGACTTGGTCATGGGCTGCTTACGACGGACCCGTCACGTTTGTGGGCGATTCGTGGTTCAGTGGCGGGTGGAGTACCATCATTGATCCCGATGGCAAGGAGAAGTGGGTGAAGAGCGGGCCTGAAGTAGTCGTCAAGGCCGTCTCTGTAACTCACGACAGCGAGGACGCGTTCGGGAGGGTTTCTGGTGGAGAACTTTTCCTCGAGGGGTGGGTGGCTGCGTTGGTGCTGAATGAAGCCTGCCTTGTCGCCGAACCGGATACTAGGGATCGGACCAAGAAGCCGCCATTCCCATCCAAGTGTTACAGCGTTCCCGTCGGCGACGCAGCGGTGGTCACAGTCTTCTTTGACTATGACGTGGCGGAACTGCCAGTTAGCACCGTGATTCTCTGCCTACAGCTTGGGACTGGCGTCAGCGTCAGGGGCGGTAATTCGAAGGTGGACGCGGGGTTGGCGCTCATGTTGGATCCGGCGGGATCGTTACGGAGGGTGGGCATGTTTGAAGTCGCTGGTGACACGTTGCAATGGCATGAGACGGGGACGAGAGAGATCGTCAGAATTGTCTAGTCAACCTTCCCTTCCTCCTTTCTCACTGTCGCTCTTCTCCTCTGTCCATGAGTGTCTGTCACAGCTTGGAGTTGTTCTACGGATTATTTGGGTTGGTTCCTTATTTTTCTACTGGCGGGTGTTACTGTAAACTGCACGCTCTAAGGTCACCAGGAAGACTCCACAATCGCCCAAGTTATGGTTGATTGCTGAAACCGTAGTAGTTTAATGATTGGATCGACTGAATTGACTGAGTCTGACTGGCTGAACCAAATGGTAGGTTGTAAGAATCGTGGAGAGAGCTGTGCGGTGGTCTAGAAAAGCTCCTGCTAAGAGTGCGGAGATATGGGTACCGGGCTTAGACTGTACTCTTGGCGCCATCACATTCCATCACAGTGGCAAGCCAATCAGATCCTACCTAACGGATAACGGCTGTACCTCTGTACATAGTAGGCCAGTGCTGCCCACAAGGCAAATCAAGTCAAATCGGCACACCGACTTGCTTTGATTTGAGGCTAGAGATACTCGACTTGCCTTGTCAGTTCCTCGACTTGCGTTGACCCAAAGCTTTGCCAAGCCGCTTACATAATCCCCCGAAATGGGTTGTTCCGCACCGCCCCGTTTT